TGTAATAGTAACCTTGAATGTCACCTTGGCCACAAACTTTACGTTCATTTGAAGGTCATTTGTTGAACATAAAAATTTCCATTGTTTACATTTTTACTGAAGAAAACTAATCATTCTTAATCTCGAGCAGTACGAAAAGAATGGAAACGTCAAAATATGTCAAAATCTGTTCTAGATCGAACTTGTAAGGTTTAGAAAGGGTCATGTAATAGTAACCTTGAATGTCACCTTGGCCACAAACTTTACGTTCATTTGAAGGTCATTTGTTGAACATAAAAATTTCCATTGTTTACATTTTCACTGAAGAAAACTAATCATTCTTAATCTCAAGCAGTACAAAAAGAATGGAAACGTCAAAATATGTCAAAATCTGTTCTAGATCGAACTTGTAAGGTTTAGAAAGGGTCATGTAATAGTAACCTTGAATGTCACCTTGGCCACAAACTTTACGTTCATTTGAAGGTCATTTGTTGAACATAAAAATTTCCATTGTTTACATTTTTACTGAAGAAAACTAATCATTCTTAATCACAAGCAGTACAAAAAGAATGGAAACGTAAAAATATGTCAAAATCTTTTCTAGATCGAACTTGTAAGGTTTAGAAAGGGTCATGTAATAGTAACCTTGAATGTCACCTTGGCCACAAATTTTACGTTCATTTGAAGGTCATTTGTTGAACATAAAAATTTCCATTGTTTACATTTTTACTGAAGAAAACTAATCATTCTTAATCTCAAGCAGTACAAAAAGAATGGAAACGTCAAAATCTGTTCTGGATCGAACTTGTAAGGTTTAGAAAGGGTCATGTAATAGTAACCTTGAATGTCACCTTGGCCACAAATTTTTACGTTCATTTGAAGGTCATTTGTTGAACATAAAAATTTCCATTGTTTACATTTTTACTGAAGAAAACTAATCATTCTTAATCTCAAGCAGTACAAAAAGAATGGAAACGTCAAAATCTGTTCTAGATCAAACTTGTAAGGTTTAGAAAGGGTCATGTAATAGTAACCTTGAATGTCACCTTGGCCACAATCTTTACGTTCATTTGAAGGTCATTTGTTGAACATAAAAATTTCCATTGTTTACATTTTTACTGAAGAAAACTAATCATTCTTAATCTCAAGCAGTACAAAAAGAATGGAAACGTCAAAATATGTCAAAATCTGTTCTAGATCGAACTTGTAAGGTTTAGAAAGGGTCATGTAATAGTAACCTTGAATGTCACCTTGGCCACAAACTTTACGTTCATTTGAAGGTCATTTGTTGAACATAAAAATTTCCATTGTTTACATTTTTACTGAAGAAAACTAATCATTCTTAATCACAAGCAGTACAAAAAGAATGGAAACGTAAAAATATGTCAAAATCTTTTCTAGATCGAACTTGTAAGGTTTAGAAAGGGTCATGTAATAGTAACCTTGAATGTCACCTTGGCCACAAATTTTACGTTCATTTGAAGGTCATTTGTTGAACATAAAAATTTCCATTGTTTACATTTTTACTGAAGAAAACTAATCATTCTTAATCTCAAGCAGTACAAAAAGAATGGAAACGTCAAAATCTGTTCTGGATCGAACTTGTAAGGTTTAGAAAGGGTCATGTAATAGTAACCTTGAATGTCACCTTGGCCACAAATTTTTACGTTCATTTGAAGGTCATTTGTTGAACATAAAAATTTCCATTGTTTACATTTTTACTGAAGAAAACTAATCATTCTTAATCTCAAGCAGTACAAAAAGAATGGAAACGTCAAAATCTGTTCTAGATCAAACTTGTAAGGTTTAGAAAGGGTCATGTAATAGTAACCTTGAATGTCACCTTGGCCACAATCTTTACGTTCATTTGAAGGTCATTTGTTGAACATAAAAATTTCCATTGTTTACATTTTTACTGAAGAAAACTAATCATTCTTAATCTCAAGCAGTACAAAAAGAATGGAAACGTCAAAATATGTCAAAATCTGTTCTAGATCGAACTTGTAAGGTTTAGAAAGGGTCATGTAATAGTAACCTTGAATGTCACCTTGGCCACAAACTTTACGTTCATTTGAAGGTCATTTGTTGAACATAAAAATTTCCATTGTTTACATTTTCACTGAAGAAAACTAATCATTCTTAATCTCAAGCAGTACAAAAAGAATGGAAACGTCAAAATATGTCAAAATCTGTTCTAGATCGAACTTGTAAGGTTTAGAAAGGGTCATGTAATAGTAACCTTGAATGTCACCTTGGCCACAAACTTTACGTTCATTTGAAGGTCATTTGTTGAACATACAAATTTCCATTGTTTACATTTTTACTGAAGAAAACTAATCATTCTTAATGTCAAGCTGTACGAAAAGAATGGAAACGTCAAAATATGTCAAAATCTGTTCTAGATCGAACTTGTAAGGTTTAGAAAGGGTCATGTAATAGTAACCTTGAATGTCACCTTGGCCACAAACTTTACGTTCATTTGAAGGTCATTTGTTGAACATAAAAATTTCCATTGATACCTTTTTACTGAAGAAAACTAATCATTCTTAATCTCGAGCAGTACGAAAAGAATGGAAACGTCAAAATATGTCAAAATCTGTTCTAGATCGAACTTGTAAGGTTTAGAAAGGGTCATGTAATAGTAACCTTGAATGTCACCTTGGCCACAAACTTTACGTTCATTTGAAGGTCATTTGTTGAACATAAAAATTTCCATTGATTACATTTTTACTGAAGAAAACTAATCATTCTTAATCTCAAGCAGTACGAAAAGAATGGAAACGTCAAAATCTGTTCTAGATCGAACTTGTAAGGTTTAGAAAGGGTCATGTATTAGTAACCTTGAATGTCACCTTGGCCACAAACTTTACGTTCATTTGAAGGTCATTTGTTGAACATAAAGATTTCCATTGTTTACATTTTTACCGAAGAAAACTAATCATTCTTAAAATCGAGCAGTACGAAAAGAATGGAAACGTCAAAATATGTCAAAATCTGTTCTAGATCGAACTTGTAAGGTTTAGAAAGGGTCATGTAATAGTAACCTTGAATGTCACCTTGGCCACAAACTTTACGTTCATTTGAAGGTCATTTGTTTAACATAACAATTTCCATTGTTTACATTTTTATTGAAGAAAACTAATCATTCTTAATCTCAAGCAGTACGAAAAGAATGGAAACGTCAACATCTGTTCTAGATCGAACTTGTAAGGTTTAGAAAGGGTCATGTAATAGTAACCTTGAATGTCACCTTGGCCACAAACTTTACGTTCATTTGAAGGTCATTTGTTGAACATAAAAATTTCCATTGTTTACATTTTTACTGAAGAAAACTAATCATTCTTAATCTCAAGCAGTACAAAAAGAATGGAAACGTCAAAATATGTCAAAATCTGTTCTAGATCGAACTTGTAAGGTTTAGAAAGGGTCATGTAATAGTAACCTTGAATGTCACCTTGGCCACAAACTTTACGTTCATTTGAAGGTCATTTGTTGAACATAAAAATTTCCATTGTTTACATTTTTACTGAAGAAAACTAATCATTCTTAATCTCAAGTAGTACAAAAAGAATGGAAACGTCAAAATATGTCAAAATCTGTTCTAGATCGAACTTGTAAGGTTTAGAAAGGGTCATGTAATAGTAACCTTGAATGTCACCTTGGCCACAAACTTTACGTTCATTTGAAGGTCATTTGTTGAACATAAGAATTTCCATTGTTTACATTTTTACTGAAGAAAACTAATCATTCTTAATCTCAAGCAGTACGAAAAGAATGGAAACGTCAAAATATGTCAAAATCTGTTCTAGATCGAACTTGTAAGGTTTAGAAAGGGTCATGTAATAGTAACCTTGAATGTCACCTTGGCCACAAACTTTACGTTCATTTGAAGGTCATTTGTTGAACATAAAAATTTCCATTGTTTACATTTTTACTGAAGAAAACTAATCATTCTTAATCTCAAGCAGTACAAAAAGAATGGAAACGTCAAAATATGTCAAAATCTGTTCTAGATCGAACTTGTAAGGTTTAGAAAGGGTCATGTAATAGTAACCTTGAATGTCACCTTGGCCACAAACTTTACGTTCATTTGAAGGTCATTTGTTGAACATAAAAATTTCCATTGTTTACATTTTTACTGAAGAAAACTAATCATTCGTAATATCGAGTAGTACAAAAAGAATGGCAACGTCACAATATGTCAAAATCTGTTCTAGATCGAACTTGTAACGTTTAGAAAGGGTCATGTAATAGTAACCTTGAATGTCACCTTGGCCACAAACTTTACGTTCATTTGAAGGTCATTTGTTGAACATAAAAATTTCCATTGTTTACATTTTTACTGAATAAAACTAATCATTCTTAATCTCAAGTAGTACAAAAAGAATGGAAACGTCAAAATATGTCAAAATCTGTTCTAGATCGAACTTGTAAGGTTTAGAAAGGGTCATGTAATAGTAACCTTGAATGTCACCTTGGCCACAAACTTTACGTTCATTTGAAGGTCATTTGTTGAACATAAGAATTTCCATTGTTTACATTTTTACTGAAGAAAACTAATCATTCTTAATCTCAAGCAGTACGAAAAGAATGGAAACGTCAAAATATGTCAAAATCTGTTCTAGATCGAACTAAGGTTTAGAAAGGGTCATGTAATAGTAACCTTGAATGTCACCTTGGCCACAAACTTTACGTTCATTTGAAGGTCATTTGTTGAACATAAAAATGTCCATTGTTTACATTTTTGCTGAAGAAAGCCTTTCTCGATCTCCAAATTGGCGATAACGTTAGCGGTTATCATTAGATGACCATTTTCAAGCAACATTCTTCTCTAGGATACATGTTTACCGAGGTATTTTTGATCTTTCCAAACTTTCTGATTCGCATTGCAATGCAACTGGTGGATCACAATGATGTTTTCTTACATTTAAAAATAATTTCAGTACTAGACGATAAAACAAGTAGCCTATTCGAAAATTCAAGCATTGTAAATTTGGACCCTGTATTTTCTTTTTATTTAGGATGGGTCAAAAATGGCTGTCAGACTTGCCGGAGGTCTTCAGAAAATGGTGGCTCTGCTTCAGCGTAACAACGTCAAGTTTCTTGCCATAGTCACTGATTGTCTGCAGATTCTTGCCTACGGAAATCAGGAGAGCAAGTTGATCATCTTGGCATCTCAAGGTCAGTAAAAATTCTGTATTTTCTACAAAAAATGCAAGTTTTTTCAGCATCTTAGTTTTTACCTCTCAAAAAAATATGTGTATGCCTGTGACTGATATACTATTTAAAATTAAACAAATATGCTTGTACTGGAACCTCACCCAGTTGGTTTAAAACATATTTAAATAATAGATCCTAAATTATAAAATTATAAAGATGTTATATTTCAAATAAATTAAACACAGGGGTACTGCAAGGATCAGTGTTAGGTCCTATCCTTTTCTTAGTCTATATAAACGATTTATTATCTTAAGCATAAATGGTAAATTCTTAGTTTTTCCTGATGATACCACAATGATCTGGGCAAGACACCAATATGAGTGAAATTAAGACAAAAATTGACAGTGATATACAATCAAAAACTGGTGTGACAGCGATTACTTGACTTTCAATGTTGATAAAACAAAACTTGACATTTAAATGTTTGTTCCGTGAAGGTCCCATCGAACTGGTCAGAATCATGCGCTCCTACGACTACGAAAAGCTCCTGTGGACCACCTCGCGCGTCCTGAAGGTCCTTTCGGTCTGCTCCAGCAACAAACCGGCGATCGTCGAAGCCGGAGGCATGCAAGCCTTAGCGATGCACCTGGGGAATCCCAGCCAAAGGCTGGTGCAAAACTGTCTTTGGACGCTGAGGAATCTGTCGGATGCCGCTACTAAAGTGGACGGGCTGGAGAGCCTCTTGCAGTCACTCGTACAGGTATGGATTAATAATGATTGATAACATATTATGATGGGTACAAGTCTCAGCAATATTCGGCCACTTCAGGGGGTGCAGCAAGGGTCAAACTTGGGGCCTCTCGTGTTTCTACTATTTATCGATGATATTAATTTATTCACATCAATTTTAAATTTTGAATAAATTGGTATGTAACAAAATTACAATATCGTTGTGTGTGGATATCATTTTAACACAACATACCCATATAACATGGTAGTTACAATAAGTTGATTGAACTAAAAAAAGCTACATAATATTAATATTTTGTTTGTTTGTTTAAGATTTACTTAGCATGATTGCTACAATTACATTCTTCTAAAAAACTACACAATTATATAACATACATTCAGAAAAAAATAATAGTAATGCATTAATTTTGTATCGTACATTAGCAATGAAGAAAAGATATTTATATGTTAGTTTTTTATAAGTTACGTCATGCTTTGATCAGTCGAAATAACGATATTCGTTTTTTTTTTCTAATATATTTTGATATGATATAATTTTGGACGTAAGCATTTAAAAGATTTCAACATTACTCACATTTTTGGTGTTGCAATAATTATTTCTTTATTTTTATTTCTAGTATTATATTCTTAATTTTTATAAATGGTGGAATGTTTATTTTTATGGAATTCTAATATAACGATATACAAAAATATTTTTTTTATACCCAAAAGTTTTGATTCTGTAAACATCGATTTGGAGGGACTTAATAGAGGTTTGTTATAAATAGTTTTTGTATTATTTGTAAAGAATTTAGATGATTATTTTTCTTGGATCCCCAGAAAATAGTTCCATAGGTTTTTGTAGCATTTAATTAATGTTTGATACAAAATATTTAATTGAGTTTCATTGAAAATGTGTCTGTGTTACAGTTTCTTTTTATGGTCGACTCAAAATTAACTAGATCTTGAGAAAGTTAAATACTACCACGTTTTTTCTTATTTAGAATAATAATTTTATAGTTCTTAAAATAGATCGATTTTTTTATAACAAAACACTTCTCTTCTGTGGACCGTAAATACGAGAGCTGAAGGTGACTTGGGGCTATTTCCAGTGGTCTCGTGTAGGTGTTCAGCGGCCCACAACCCGCGGTTGTGAAATAATTTCACACCCAGTGCTGCGCTTTATCGGGTTGTGGAGATTTTGATGGAAATCGGTCTCCCTTGGTGCTTTTTGTTGTCGGAGCCGTTTTCTCACCCTCTTGGGAATTTACCCATTGTCACAGCTACACTAAACCATCCAGCTGAGGGGAAATGTTTGCACTGATACTCCAAGGCGACTTTAGTACAAAATAACTTTCTTTTGCTTGTCCTCCAGGACTTCTTTTAAACTTTTTTTCATTCCTTTTGTTCAGTAAAAGTTTGTGTACCTCGTGAGTTTGTATCTCCTTTAGCGCCAGAGACCCAACATTGGTTACTTGTTATTTCTTTTTCCTAGGCGCCCAAACCAAAACCAGTTGCATCCAAAATCCAAGAACCACCCACTGAGTGCTCATCAACTACCAACTGAGCACATTTACATTCCGTTAACAAATTATAGCTTAATTTAGGAGGGATAACATCTTTACAAATTGACAAATGTAATTGATTTAATAAAAAAAACTCAGTATTCCGGGCTACGGCAGAATAAAAAAAATCTCCGATTCCAGGTTCTGGCATCTTCGGACGGTAACGTAGTGACTTGCGCCGCCGGGATTCTCTCGAACTTGACGTGCAACAACCAGCGCAACAAAGTGACCGTCTGTCAAGTGGGTGGAGTCGATGCTTTGGTGCGTACGGTTGTCGCCGCGGGAGACCGCGAAGAGATCACGGAGCCAGCCGTTTGCGCTTTGAGACATCTCACTTCCAGGTAAAAATATGTCACTTTTTCCAGGGCGTTCACTTTTAGCAAAATTAGGGACGGTTTGTTGCTATCATTGATGAACATATTCCAGCAGAAGTTTTCCTGTCATATGGTGAAGCTCGTGTCATTGTACAAACTTCTATGGCCTTCCAGAAAAGCTTTATGGATGGATGGCAGGTTTAAAAAAAACACTAATTTGTCTATTAACTGGCAGTATTTTCTGCTACGTGGCTGTGTTAGTATAAAAAGAAAAAATGACGTCCAAATACAGCAAATGGTTGAATATCTTAGTCCATGCAAACAATGAAACATAATATTGTTTCATATTCTAATACGTCTCTCTGATCGATTTTTTGTTTATATTCCCAGACATGTGGAGTCTGAAATGGCACAGAATGGCGTGAGGCTGAACTATGGCATACAGGTGAGTTTTTTTTTCAACCTACATTGTCTAACAAAATGTATAAAAACACTTATCCTAGCATCCTCTGAATATGCTTGTATAGATTATTAGATAAATATAATTTTTTTTGAATAGTTTTTAAAATTAATTTTTATTTCTCGAAATTTCTCTAATAAAATTATTTTAATAATGATTATTTTTAGCTAAATATAATTTTTTAGAATAGTTTTTAAAATTAGTTTTTATTTCTCGAAATTTCTCTAATAAAATTATTTTAATAGTGATTATTTTAGCCACTTATAATTTTTTTTTTAATAGTTTTTAAAATTAATTTTTATTTCTCGAAATTTCTCTAATAAAATTATTTTAGTAATGATTTTTTTAACTGGGTATAATTTTTTTTTTTTGAATAGTTTTTAAAATTAGTTTTTATTTCTCGAAATTTCTCTAATAAAATTATTTTAATAGTGATTATTTTAGCCACTTATAATTTTTTAGAATAGTTTTTAAAATTAGTTTTTATTTCTCGAAATTTCCCTAAGAAAATTATTTTAATAGTGATTATTTTTAACTAAATATAATTTTTTTTTAATAGTTTTTAAAATTAATTTTTATTTCTCGAAATTTCTCTAATAAAATTATTTTAATAATGATTATTTTTAGCTAAAAATAATTTTTTAGAATAGTTTTTAAAATTAGTTTTTATTTCTCGAAATTTCTCTAATAAAATTATTTTAATAGTGATTATTTTAGCCACTTATAATTTTTTTTAATAGTTTTTAAAATTAGTTTTTATTTCTCGAAATTTCTCTAATAAAATTATTTTAATAGTGATTATTTTTAGCTAAATATAATTTTTTAGAATAGTTTTTAAAATTAGTTTTTATTTCTCGAAATTTCTCTAATAAAATTATTTTAATAGTGATTATTTTTAGCTAAATATAATTTTTTAGAATAGTTTTTAAAATTAGTTTTTATTTCTCGAAATTTCTCTAATACAATTATTTTAATAGTGATTATTTTAGCCACTTATAATTTTTTTGAATAGTTTTTAAAATTAGTTTTTATTTCTCGAAATTTCACTAATAAAATTATTTTAATAATGATTATTTTTAGCTTCAGGTCGCGATCTAACAGGTTTCTTATATTTTTTTGTATAGGTCATCGTGAAGTTGTTGACACCGCCATCTCGCTGGCCGTTGGTGAAAGCCGTGATTGGTTTGATCAGAAATCTTGCTCTGTGCCCCGCAAATCACGCTCCTTTGCGTGAACACGGTGCCATACATCACTTGGTTCAACTGTTGATGAGGGCTTATCAGGACATACAAAGGGTAAGAGATGCACATATTAATTTATATTTATTATTTTATTATATTCCGTCCCATCTTTGCATCAACAGCTTCAGCGTTTCCGTTTCCTTTCATTAGTTTTCCGTTATCCTTTTCGAACTTGAAAAGAATTTGGAAAAAAGTGGATATTCGATTTCAAACAGATTTTTATTTTATTGTAATTACATCCCGTCTTTGTATTTAAAAACGCATCAACAGCTTTAGCGTTTCCGTTTCCTTTCATTAGTTTTCCGTTATCTTATTTCGAACTTGAAAAGGAATTTAAAAAAAAGTTGATGATTTCAAACAGATTTTTATTTTATTCCAACCCATCTTTGTATTTCAAAAGGCATCAACAGCTTAGCGTTTCCATTTCCTTTCATTAGTTTTCCGTTATCCTTTTCGACTTGAACAGGAATTTAAAAAAAAAGTGGATAGTAGAATTCCAAATGGACCAATTTCATGAGAAAGGCAAAACTATAATTTTGCCATTTAAAAAATATATAGTTATATAGGCTTGCTTGCAAATATCTGAAATAGTCCTTATTTGATTATGGTTCCTTAATATCCTTAAACTACATTGCATTTATACAGGGTGTCCCAGAAGTCGACGTCAAGCCGAAACCGGGTGATAGGCAAAGTCATAACAGCTATCGGAAAAATATTTAAAAAAAGTTTATGTATGTGTTTTGAAAATTATAGGTCTTTGAAAACGATATAGAAATTTCACACCCTACGGCAGTCTGTCAGCTCCTGTTACTACAAATATTAACTTTTTTTGGATTTTATTTTTACAATGTAATGATGAATAATGCATTTTCAACCTTACTGCCAACTTTTCTCGTTCAGGAAAAATTGCCACTTATTTCCCAACCAAGTATTCCAAAGTAAAACTTTGCTCAACTTTAACTGGCTGTACTGGAAAAATGTGTATTGCGGCTGAAGGAAAACAGTTTGAGCATTTGCTGTAAAGGTAAATCATCATCAGCAGCATTTTGACGCCCACTGTTGTGCAAACAGTTATCCTTAAGGGTCCTTGTGCGTTTTCATAATCGCTGTTTAATTAGGAAATTTTGAAAAATTTTCTTCAGTTTTTTTTTCAAATAAAAATTGTGCATAAGTTAACGAGTAATCTTCTAAGTGTTATACCATTTTGGAATCCTTATTAAATGCGCCAACTTTTAAGGTTACTTGCCAAACTCTCGTAATACATTTTTTTCCAGTACAGCCAGTTAAAGTTGAGCAAAGTTTTACTTTGGAATACTTGGTTGGGAAATAAGTGGCAATTTTTCCTGAACGAGAAAAGTTGGCAGTAAGGTTGAAGATGCATTATTCATCATTACATTGTAAAAATAAAATCCAAAAAAAGTTAATATTTGTAGTAACAGGAGTTGACAGACTGCCGTAGGGTGTGAAATTTCTATATCTTTTTCAAAGACCTATAATTTTCAAAACACATACATAAGATTTTTTTAAATATTTTTCTGATAGCTGTTATGACTTTGCCTATCACCCGGTTTCGGCTTGTCGTCGACTTCTGGGACACCCTGTATATGATAAAACAACACAAGAATATTATAGAAAAAATGAACAAAGTATAACCTTATTTGTGTATGCAGCTAAATACCACAGATGAAAAGGTTCTTTTTTTTTAAATTTAAGAAAAAATTCAATAACTCAAAAACGGTGACACTTTTATATAGGTAAGTTTTGTTATTTTTAAAGCCTACCTTCTCCTTAAGTTTGTCCTGGTACTTATCGGACATCCTGTATATAATAAGTGTATATTTGTTATATTTCTTTTTTTTCTAGCGCAACGGCGTATCTTCGAGCGCGTCGAGCGGCGGGGGCGGCGGCGGTGGCGGCCAGCCGCCTGCGGGCACGTACGCGGACGGCGTGCGCATGGAGGAGATCATAGAGGGCGCTGTTGGAGCGTTGCACATCCTCGCGAGGGAATCGCACAATCGCGCGGTCATCCGGCAGTCCATGGTGATTCCGGTCTTTGTACAACTGCTATTCAACGACATTGAGAACATCCAGCGCGTTGCCGCAGGTATATTTACAAGGAATCTTCGTTTTATTTTCTCCCGGTGCCTCGGTATAATCCTTGGAAATTACGGTGCAACTTTGTCTGATAACTCGCCAAACCTTGCAAATTCGCGCTAGCTTCATCTGCCATTTAAAAAAGGCCACCGAGGTGGACTTAAGTCTGTATATGTGGTTTCATTTAAAGACCATAAAACATAGATTATTTACCTTTCTGTTCTTTCTAGGTGTTCTTTGTGAACTGGCTGCCGACAAAGAAGGTGCTGAAATGATAGAACAGGAAGGGGCTACGTCACCGCTAACCGAACTGTTACATTCAAGAAACGAAGGCAAGTTTTTTAATACATTCTTTATGTTGTCGAAAAAAGTTTGTTTTATCTTATAACGATAATTTATTATTTTGATATTACTTGCGTATGTTTTAAGTTTGCCTAATATTCACAAAAGGGACTTGACAGTTTTATTTTTTTAATACTTCCTTTAAGATGCCGTAAGTCCTTTTTCATAGACTATACATATTGAAGTTGAGTCATTAATTTTCAGATAATGATTGTAGAAGGAAGATAAACCAAAATATGTGTGTAAAAATAAAAAAAAATGTTACCTTGTTTTATAAAGTATCCTCCCGACAAGTATTTCAGTGCGGACCTGTATTTGATCGTGAGGTCTTGGAGCACCGGCATGCCGTCCATATGTGAGGTCTTAAGTCAAATGATTCACGAAGCCGTTGTACTACATTAACAAAGGCACGAGGGGTTGGTTGCACTCGATTGGGAAACCGATCCGCATAAACATGTGCCATTTTTTATTTCGTTTGAGCCACGCAACAGACACCACTATCCACTACCGACTGACACTGACTGTATACAACTGAATGAAATAATTGTAAAAACATCGTTCCAAATTCTTTCGCTTTTTTGTTTCCGATGCGATGAACCGATAAGGCGAATTATATCCGTTGTCGCCAAACACGAGCACATAATATTATTATTGAGACAGCGCGGTACTCAAACTTCCAAAGGGCTATAACTTTGTTACTTTAATTTTACCAGAAAAATGGTAAAGGAAAAAACATTTCTTTTGATCAGATCTACTCACTGTTAAAATAAATGACTCAACTTCGAAGTCACCCTGTAGATAAATATGATTTATTGTCTGAAGAATACAATCCTTAATGACTTAGAAGTACACCAGATAAAAATTACATTTGTGGATCTTACATCTAAATTTTCAGACCATTATAAATTATTCAGTCTTTCTTTAAGACTTTATAATGTTTCACATTTAGCTTCATCTTTATAAATAAGAGGTGCTGTTTCTAAAATAAACAATGATACGACAGTCATTATTTCAAGATTTAGAAATAAAAGCTCTAGGATTGCATTCAGTTATACAAGACCGACTGAGTGTCCATATAAAAGAAGTACAACAGAAATCGTGTTTTTAATGAAAACTGAATATATTAAAGAAACTAAGACATTTAAAACACATATGTATATAAATGAACAAAAAGCTTTAAACTCAAGAAAATGAGTATTTTTTCCAAAGTATTGTGACAGCAAAAACTTTTAGTTTACCATTTATGTTTGAATCTTAGATATAAAGATAGGATCGGACCTAATACTGATCCTTGAGGTACCCCCGCGATTGTATTTGATTTATTTGAAATACAAGCCACAAACAGTGGAACGCCTTAAAGAAGAGATACGACGAAATAGAGCCACAGTTGTACGAAAACGTTATCCATAATTTTAAGAAAATACTGACCTTGTGCCAGAGGTTTCGTGGTGGCCATTTACCATATGTCCTATTTTATGTTTAATCGCAACTATTTATCTTCATGTTGAAATAGGGGTTGTCCAATAGGGACGCAGGAAAGTAAACGTCAATTTGACATAGACCCCATCTTTGTTTTCTGTCACCGACATGTCATTTTGTTAGTTGAATGTTTACCATTGATCGCTATGGAGTCGTATGGTGCAAAAATAAAAAACACGTTTCGCGCGCTTCGTGAACATTTCGGTCGCAACAACCGCCCAAACGAAACAACCATCGGTCGTCTGGTGCGTAAATTCGAGGCAACAGGTTCTGTGGCAAATCTGCCAGGCTCTGGCCGGCCAAGGAGCGTTCGCACACCGGAAAATATTGCTGTTGTGAAGGAGAGTGTGAGAGACGAGCCGAAACAATCAACAACGCGTCGATCCCAAGAATGGGGCATTTCAAGAACCAGTTTGCTCCGCATTCTCCACAAGGATTTGAATGTACACGCCTACAAGATCCAATTGACGCAAGAGCTGCGTCGGGCCGACCATTTTTCGCGCCGAACGTTTTCAGATTGGCTCCTTGAACCCCGCCAAATTGATGCCAATTTTTCATCAAAAATCATGTTCAGCGACGAAGCGCGTTTCACTTTGAATGGGACGGTAAACAAGCAAAACTGCCGCATCTGGGCGAACGAAAATCCCCATGAGTATCAAGAGCAGCCGATGTATCCTCAAAAAGTGACTGTGTGGTGTGCATTGTGGTCAAAAGGCATCATCGGACCTTACTTTTTCGAAAATGCAGCCGGGTCGCCGTTACCGTCAATTCTGAGCGATATCACGTGATGATAGTGGACTATTTTTTGCCGCAACTTGAAGGAATGGATACGGACGATGTTTATTTCCAACAAGACGGTGCAACATGCCACACAACCAACGTCAATATCCATCGATTGCAGTCCTTCTTCGGTGATCGCGTGATTTCGCGCAGAACAAATGTGCCATGGCCACCAAGATCGTGCGATTTGACTCCCTTGGACTTCTTTTTATGGGGATATTTGAAAAGCAAAGTCTAACGTCAACAAACCAGCCACCCTGCAAGAACTCAAAAACAACATCATTGCCGAGATAAATGCCATAGAACCGACCATGTTGCAAAATGTCATTGAAAATTTTGACCACCACCGCGTGGTGGTGAACAGTTGAGCGATATTATTTTTCATACATAAATGGTATAAATGAACCTTCAAAATAAAGTACCCAACTTGATTTGAATATCAATCTTTCTTGTTTTAATATGCGTTTACTTTCCTGCATCCGTTTTGGACAACCCCATATATCTTGATACTTTTACAATTTGGGATCGATTATTCACATGTTTTAAACCAATTTATTATTTTGAGATTTGTTTAGTACTACAGTTTGTTTAAATTGCCCCAAAAGTGACTATGCCGTTTCTATTTCAATTTTCGTCCGCTAGGTGTCGCGACTTACGCGGCCGCAGTGCTGTTCAGAATGAGCGAAGATAAGCCTCAGGATTATAAGAAACGTTTATCTATGGAGCTGACGAATTCCTTGTTCAGAGAGGAGAATCTCTGGAATCCTGATCTCGGGATGGGAGCTGACTTACAGGTAATTTGAAAACAAATTTATAAATAATTGTCGTCGCCATAAATTGGATGAGGTATATACTCTAGACTCCCTCATTTTTGAATGATTTATACAATTTCGATTTGTTTGATTTGCAAGTTTGTGATTTTTTTTCTCGAAATTCAGTAGTAGTTTAAAGCTTGTTAGAGATCTTTTAATTTTTTTTCATAGTTTTTTTTCAATCCTTGTATATAAATAAGAGTCCCAATGCAACTAGATTATTGTGTACTGTGTCCAAAGTGTTGAAACGTGTATTATAAAATTTTAAAGAATCAAATATTTAAGACACATTTATCAAATAAAGTTTGAGTAAAATATTCAAATGTTAAATATGTATTTAAATATATGAATTGGAATTTCAATTTTCAACGTGATAATTAAATTAAATAGTATTACAGCAGACGCTCGATAATGTAAACTAATTTAATCCAAGTGTGGTTCACATTATCGAAATGTTTACATTAGCGAACGTGACTTATATAATATTTGATTCATTAAAAGAAACGTTTAATACATACTATTTATAACAAAATAAACAAATATTCTAACAGCGATAAGTATTTTTTTAATTAGAAGAAAAATAATTAACAATTTTTGTCTGCGTAAATTTGCGCTTAGCGTTGTCTTCCAATGCCTGCGCCCGTAATTTACGAAGAACTAAAATATCCGTGTATGAAACTTCTTTTCTTTCAGCCCAATCTAAAGCTTGGTTAAAAACTTGTATAGCTAGCGCGTCAGTCACTACACTTCTGACTTCAATGGGATCGTTCTCATCATCCTCACTGTCAATATCCTCCTCCTTATCAGCATCATTCGTCTGCTTATCTTCGTTCCATAAATTAATATCAGCAGGAGTACAAACAATGTTGGGATTCACTGTTTTCAATAAATCAACAACATCCAATGACACACTAATAACATTATCATTGTTGGATCGCAAACGTTCTCTAATTACGCTTAAGGGGACATCGTCTTCTTCATCATCTTCATTATTGCTACAAAAGAGATTGTTCCAACATTTTTGAATAGTTTGCTGGTTAAGTTCATTCTAGGCCAAAACAGCTTCTCGTTACTTTTTTTAAAGCCTCAGATAAGTTTTCAGAATTCTTTGATAAGACAGACGAAAGTAGAAACTTCCTATAGTATAGCTTGGTGAGTCTTATTATATTCTGGTCCATCGGTTGAATTAACGGTGTTACGTTGGGCGGCATGTACATGACGAAAATTGACCCATCCCTGCTCCTCAGTTGTTGCTCGGGAGGATGACTTGGTGCATTATCCAATAGTAACAACGCTTTTATTGGAAGCTTCTGTTGTTTTAGCAAACCTTTTACCTACAAATTGAAAACACATCTTCAAATTATGAATAGTGCATTTGTGATAATTGATTGTCATACCTGAGGGACAAAGCACCTGTGGAACCATTTCAGGAATATACTGCTAGTCATCCAAGCGGTTTTTGAACAGTCATAATCAACAGGGATATTAACATTTTTAAATGAGCGCGGATTTTTTGCTTTCCCAATTACCAGTGGCTTTATTTTGTGTGAACCATCAGCATTACTGCAGGCTAGAAACGTTATTCGTTGTTTCTCCGGCTTTCTTCCCGGGGCAGATTTTTCAAATGATGCAGCATAGGTTTTCTCTAGTAACAGTTTCCAATTAAGGCCACTTTCATCTGCGTTGTAAATTTGTTCCATTCTTAAATCTAGCTCGGTAATTGTTGTCATCAATTTTTCTTTGAATGGTTGCACTAATTGTGGTTGTGCTGATAATTTTTCACCAGATATAGACAGCAGTCGAATTCCATATCTTGTTTTGAGTCGTTGTACCCAGCCATCACTAGCTACGAAATGTTCAGTTTCTTTCAGTTTTTTATTTAACAGTCTCGCTCTCTGTTTAAGTACTTCGCCACTAACTGGGACATGATTTTCCCGTTGTTTTAAAAACCACTTATACAGGGAATTTTCCATTTTAGGTGCCTTCGCATTTTTTAAGGTTTTTCTTTTTCCCGGACCTCCGAATGTATTGCACGTTCTTTGAAACATTTGAGTTTACGCTTAATTTTACAGATTGTTGCTTTCGATACTCCATATTTTTTTGCTAACTGTGTCACTCCCGCACCTAGTGCAACTTCGTCTATGATTTTCACTTTCTCACTCAAGTTTAAACACGTTCTTTCATAGGATGTGGATGCCATAGTCGTAAATATATTAACTCGTGCAATGTATTCACTTAAGTTCAAAAATGAAATACTTACGTACGAATAAACGTATCCTAAACGATCATACGACTGACCGAGTTTGTCGTATTTTATCGCAGAGGTGAATCCCATACGGTCTACATCATAAATCGGGGACTCCCCGACGCCCGACATAAATCATCGAGGCTTCAGCATTTTACCGTCGCGCTGTTTCCGTGCGCCGAGAGTTGTATACGTTATCGAGCGTACACATTGTTTACATTATCGCGCGTTCCGTTTGATCCCATAGAACGAAGTTTGTGTTTACATTAGCGCAAGTTTTCATTATCCCGTGTTTACGTTATCGAGAGTCTGCTGTATTTATTATTTATGTATTTATTTGATCCACAGAAATTGTAACTTGTTGCAAACTTGTTTTTTTTTAATATCTGTGAATTGTAAAATCGCTAAAATTTCATGTGGTAGTTTTGTTTTTGTTTAGTTTTTATTCAAAACGATTGATTAAAATAGCCAAAATTGTTTTTATTTTATACGCGAAAACGGTGCATCAGACGGAAAAAAGTCAATAGTTCAAATTTGTTTGCAAGATAAATGAGGAATGGCGTACCATTTTTTTTTTATTTCCAGTATACATCAAGAATGCCTATTGGTGCTTAGTAGGTACACGTCAAATTTAATGAAAACATCCAGAACAGTATTAAAGTTATAGGAAAACCAATTTTTTCGTAAAATTTTATCACCCTGTAGCTCAGAAGTTAAGAGGTTTAGGACATATGTTCATATAAACTTTTCCTCCTAGAATGAGCTACGGCATCGTATCCTGTATTTTTAGCCATTAATTAACTCACACTCTGTTTGTAAAAAGTCTTCAACATATATTTCTCAAGTTGGTCTGCATCCCAAGAATCTCCGACAATTTGAATGAAATCCGTTCATTCCTACTGTTTTTGCTAATATTACTTGTTCAAACTGGAGGTTTTTTTGTGATTAAATATCTTGCATGTTTTTATTATGGTTTTTAATCAAGGTATAGTAAGTTTTTCACCATTTTCATCCACTTCCACTCACCCAAATTTAATTATAATATTCGAAAAATTTTCGAAAATCGATACACAGTTTTTAACCCTTGCCAGAAAACTTTTGACACGGTACACACTTGCTCTTAGATAGATTGTCTAAACGTAAACTTTGCATATACCATCCATCATATCGTCGAGCACGTGCCATTTTTATTTATTTTATTTTTCCGTTATGTTTGGTTGTGCATCTTTGGTATGTGCGTTTCTAGGATATTTTGAGCCCAGATCAAGCGTACGATCACATGTACGGCCAAGGGCCGCCCAGCGTTCACAGTAGCCACGGTGGCAGGCCCTACCAGCAGCAAGGTAAAGTTATGAAGTTTGACAGCTTCCAAACGGGCACTACGCTCTTTCTCACAGCACATCCGGATCGGAAATGTTACGGAATATCGTATCGGTTGAATCAACCGTAATTTGTAATTTTATTCGTAAAATCTGTAAGTTGTCCCCTAGCTGATGGGGTTTTAAGAGGTAACTCGATTTAGTTTAATAACAGAAGAGAATAGGGAATATGCATGATTTTTTTTGTATTTCTTGACGATTATTTATGTCAACATAATACCGAGATACTAACTTATGTTCCAGTATATCAAAATTCATCAATGAATCAATTTAGGACAATAAACAACAATCTAAGAAAATTTAAATCTAATAAAAATCACTTTATGAATACTCAAAATGCGTAGTGATTTAATTTTAATAGACAACTATGTAAAATTCAGATAATGGATTAAAAAAATGTGTATCATTGTAGCATTAATACTAAACAAATATTCAACGAACAAATATTTATGGAAATGGCTACGTTTGTTTTTAATTACATATTTAAAACTGCAGTGTCAATGAAGTCGATTTAAACTCGACATTTTTGCCGCGCTTTGCAGTGACGTCATACTTCATGATCTGTCATTAGATTGTATTTTTGGTTAGGTTGCTGTCAAGTTTTTGACATGCCATCTACTTTAAGGATTTATAGGTTATGTTTGTTACCACAAATTATAACGAAAAGCATCAGACTGACTGGTTGACATTCAATGACAGTGAAAACAAACGCATGCCATCTTAAAACGGACTAACCAATCAACAAAGCGTTGGCTGGACACAAGACGCAAACGGTGACGCCGACATTTTACATTTACCTCATATTTTGTCTATTTTTTATTTAGTGAATACTCGTAGTCTTATAGCGCTCCTGCATAAAATATGGTTGAAGACGTAGACTGTAAATACTAATGTTATTTATGTTAACATAATATCAAAATCCTAACTTATGTTCATTACAAGTATATCAAAATTCATCAATGAATCAATTTAGGACAATAAACAACGATCTAAGAAAAGCTATCTCAAAATTTAAATCTAATAAAAATCACTTTATGAATACTCAAAATGCGTAGTGATGAAATTTTAATGTAAAATTACAGAAAATGGATTAAAAAAATTTGTAGCATTAAAACTAAATAAATCTTCAATAAACAAACGAATATCCATGGAAATGGCTTTTTTGTTTTTAATTACATATTTAAAATTGCAATGCCAGTGACGTTGATTAAAACTCGGCATATTTGGCGCGCTTGGCAGTGACGACATAATCCATGATCTGTCATTTGATTGTATTTTTGGTTAGGTTACTGTCGAGTTACCATCTGTTTTTAAGGATTTATAGGTTATGTTTGTTACCACAAATTATATTGAAAAGCATCAAACTGACTGGTTGACATTCAATGACAGTGAAAACAAACGCATGCCATCTTAAAACGGACGCAAACGGTGACGCCGACATTTTACATTTACCTCATATTTTGTCTATTTTTTATTTAGTGAATACTCGTAGTCTTATAGCGCTCCTGCATAAAATATGGTTGAAGACGTAGACTGTAAATACTAATGATTCAAGCAATATTTGAATCAAATACATATTCCCTATTTCTAGTTTGAAATTCGGATTTTTCCTAACCTCAAATACAATGCGAACCCAGTCTTAACAGCGGGTATTTACTTTTTTCGCAATATATGAACTAAACTGATAATAACTTTGGACAGTGATCTAACTTGTACGATATTCCGTAAAAATTTGAAAAATGCAACTACTAACGAAAGGTCATGGGATATTGATTCTTCTTTCTGCTGTTGTCAGTTATGGGTCCTTAATTCTCACACTCACGTTTGCAACTTTGGTATTTCTATGGTGTCACTGAAGTTTTTTGCTCATGGAATAACTTCTAGGTACAATTTTACAAGTCTTTGGGAGCATTTTTATCCAGAATCGATTAAATAGCCAAAAAAGCTGAGACGTAAAAATGTGAATTTGCAAAATATTCATAAACCATAAAATTAGCAAAAAATTACAGTGACAAAATCGATAGTATCGACGTATCCGTTTTGAGAAAATTGAGGGAATAGTAATACTTTGTTTCTTTTCCAATCTCTAGATGGGTATTAAGGAATTTAGCCTCTAACAACCTAACACTAGAAGGTGACTGTACGTAGCATGCTTGTGTATTTGTCCTTTTATGTTTCGTTAGAATTTCGTGCATGTTTTAGCGGCTTGGTCTTTTTTATACTCATCTATCGGTATTACCTCTAAGAATAAGCTTGTACGGTAGAGTTCATCACAGATTCCAGGGTAACTGCATAACATTCACGTTTCACTGAAAAAGAGAAATTTAATTTTTTTTCTGGAAACTGATAGGGAAATGTTCCTTCTGAAATTAGTCAGGCTTCACAATGCACTACACTTCACATTGCACCAGTGTAGTACGCTAAGTAAGCTTATTTCAGTCAGGCTTGGGTCGAATACTGAAATCTGGTATTCGAATATCGAACTGTATTTTAGTTTGTATTCGAATACAAAGAAAAAATATTCGAATATCACTGTTTTGAATACCTGGATTCATTTGAATATACTTGTACTTAAGCTATAAAAATATTTTGAAAAAACTAAAAATACATAAAACAAAGTAAGGTTTTGATACACAACGTCACAGTTGTATAAGGCGTAACGTTATGTTCGTAAGAATATCCATACAGTATAACAAGAATTCCAATACAGGATTCGAATACTGGGATTTGAAAACAAAGTAGGTATCCGAATATATGGATTCAGACGCGGTATTCAGAATACCGAGTACTGACCAAAAAGCATTCAGTCGAATACCGAATACGTATTCGAATACCAGCCAAATTTATTCTGAATAGGATTTAAAATACCGAGTGCACATTCGAATATCGACTACTGTATTTTAGGTTGTATTCGAATACAAAGAAAAAATATTCGAATACCGCTGTTTGAATATGTGAATTCATTTTAATATAAATACCTTTTGAATGTTCCAACACATGCGCACTTTAAACTTGATTTTTATGAAATTATAAAACAAAATAAAATTTTGATACGTAATGTCACAGTTGCGTAAAGCGCAATATTCCTAAGAATATCCATACAGTAATCGACAACAGGATTCGAATACTGGAATACAAAATGGGCATTCAAATATTCGGTTGTAGAAGCGGTATTCAGAACCCAGAAGAAAAAGAATATTCAATCGAATGCCAAATATCAAAGACAAATGTATTCGAATACCAGCCAAATATATTCTGAATAGGATTTAAAATACCGAGTACATATTCGAATATCGACTACTGTATTTCAGATTGTTTTCGAATACCAAGAAAAAATATTCGAATACCGCTGTTTTGAATATGTGGATTCCTTTAAATATGAATACTTTTTGAATATTCCAACATATGCGCACTTGATTTTTATTAAATTAAAAAACAAAATGAAGTTTTGATACGCAATGCACAGTTGCGTAAAGCGCAATATTCCTGAGAATATCCATACAGTATTCGACAACAGGATTCGAATACTGGGATTTGCATATAAAATGGATATTCAAATATTCTGTGCAGTAGCAGTATTCAGAATCCAGAAGAAAATGAATAATCGGTCGAATGCCAAAAATCAATGACAAATGTATTCGAATACTAGCCAAATGTATTCTGAATAGGATTTAAAATACCGACTAAATATTCGAATATCGACTACTGTATTTCAGATTGTTTTCGAATACCAAGAAAAAAATATTCGAATACCGCTGTTTTGAATATGTGGATTCCTTTAAATATGAATACTTTTGAATATTCCAACATATGCGCACTTTAAACTTGATTTTTATTAAATTAAAAAACAAAATAAAATTTTGATACGTAATGTCACAGTTGCGTAAAGCGCAATATTCCTAAGAATATCCATACAGTAATCGATAACAGGATTCGAATACTGGGATTTGCATATAAAATGGGTATTCAAATATTCTGTTGCAGAAGCAGTATTCAGAATCCAGAAAAAAATGAATATTCGGTCGAATGCCAAATATCAAAGACAAATGTATTCGAATACCAGCCAAATGTATTCTGAATAGGATTCAAAATACCGAGTATTCGAATACTACCCAAGTCTGATTTCAGTGTATTGGAACTATGGATTTTGAAAGTAATTTTAGTTCTCACAAAATAATATATTTATTACTAACGGTCATTATACACTTCGCAGTGCACAAACACTAACAAAAAAATCATACAGTGATGTGTCTAAGCAACAAAAGAATAAAATCTAAATTATGGATACTTCAGAATTTCGTAAAAAACAACTTAAACTAATGAGTCAAATTTTCCTACAACTTTGTGCTTTTGAATAAGGTGACGAGTGCGTCTAGATCTAGACATTCGTCTACTTAACATCTGCAACTTATCCTTGTGTTTTTCATGCTGATAAAACTCGACGTCTTCTGGCCGCAAAATTATACCACGAGACATGTTCATGTCTAATCGCCCATATTTCTGTCGCCATCGAAACCACATGTGCTGAAAAAATCTTTTTTATTGCAAACCTTTCAGTCACATCATTGTACTGAAGAAGGTCATTTAGAATAATTTAGAGGGTTTATTCAATAAATGTGATTTCAATTGATCAGGGATTATTAACATTGATCTATCTTACATCTTCAAGCATCTAAAGTCCAAAACTGTGAAAATGTACCGCGTTTTTCAAAAACCATACACACTTGTTTGCTTCCCGTTTTGTCTGTCTCCATGACCAAATCTAAGACCTATACCGCACTGATGAGTTGATAATGAGCATGAAACAGCAGTGTCTGCGGATGGTCATGGTTTCAAGAGAAGGAAAGCAGTACCAAACGGAATGAATGCAAATTTCATAGGATATTAGCCTAAATTTTATATCTCTGGACAATAATATACCTTATTTAAAACCTGAAGCTATCGTTGTTTTCTATTTTTTGTCGCTAAACGCATCACTGTCAACAATCTTCACGTATCATAAGGCATCTTTTACATTTGTCGATACCCCTTCTTTCATAAAGAATTTATTCTATTTATACCTGTTTATCGCATCACCTGGACAAAAGTAAAAGAAACCTAAGATAGTGTGGACTAGGTGGATAACCTACTGAGCACGGTATCTAAGAAAGTTATCACAAAAATTGTACTTGTTACTTGGAAAATATTTTTTCTACAGGGTGATTCATAATTACTTGGCGACTCGAATATACATTTTTTTTAGATGGAAACTCTTACATTCGGATGGGTCAAGTTCAAACGAAGCGGTTTGATTATAGTATAACGTTCTATTTTCAAATTGTTGAAATATTCGGCAATCTACTGAAAAAAAAAACACTCAACTTTGACGTTTCGCATCTGGTATCGCTAGAGAACTGAATTTAACGTCAAAAAAAAAAATGATCCCATATTTTCTTCCTATCTACTTGCTTTTTCAATGTTCGTTTATACAGGGTGGGGCCAAGGACGCAAAACGAACATACTTTCGAACTTTCTGATTTCCCTTTTTTCTAATGCAAGGTTACTAAAAACAGGGGACAGTTTCTTGGCCTTCCGACTTTATCGCATAATAATAATACATATTTGTAGTAATAGTAATAGGCCTTTATCAGCTATAAAGCTGTTCTCACCACCAACCAGGGCTGCGCAAAAAACTACAATTCTTGAAAAACGTCTTTTCCAAGTAAGAAGCATACTGTTCGTTACAATTTTTTTGATCAATCTAGAGAGTTAACGACCGAGCTCACACTAAAAAAACTCACCCGGTATATCCTCCATATATTTGTAAATATGTGGGATTTCCGTTTCCTTTAGGGTATGACCAGATACCAGTAGACATGCAGGGTCTGGAGATAGGCGAGATGGATGTTACAGGACCAGAACCGGACCTGAATTTCGACACCATCAATCAGTTGCCGACACCTCCACAGGATAACAACCAGGTCGCTGCTTGGTATGACACTGATTTGTAGATCACGACGATTTCGCGTAACTTTATTCAATATCTATCGTTTTTTATCAATTTCCGTACAGGCACTTTTCTTTCATGAACCCAAAAAAACTAAACACTACACCGTTTTACAACCATCTTAGGCGTGAGAAGTTTTGCTAAACGTGTCATTTATTTTGACATTTTACATTTGCGTATTTTGCTAGAAAATGATGCAATAAAGTCTTAATTATATGATCATCTAAACACGCTGTCAGAAGTATACAGATGCATACAGTATGTATGACTATTTTGGATCTTTGAACAACAAAAGATCAAATCTATGGAAATGATATCAGTAAAGAAATTGACTTGCTCAATCTATTATTGAATCAATCGGAAAGGAAGAAAAGAAAACAAAATGATGATATCAAGTAGTTTGAAACCAAAAACTCTCAACACATACACTTGAGCTTTGTCTACGTCTTTCATATGTAAACTTGGATATATGAAGGAAAAGCTGCCTCTACTTTAGTATATATTTAAATTTGATCGATTTCACAGTTTAACAAAACACATCTGAGTAATTTTTGACACGAAATGAAAACATTTTCATAAGAATTTCACCTAGAATTTTTTTACACATTTTTTGGCCCTTTACAGCTATCCTGTATATTTATAAAATGAAGTCCAAGTATGCCTTCATGCAATATACACTATTTTTTATGATTCCCTATTGTCAATTTTCAAATTATATATTATTTTATCTGTAGTGTTCATTATTTTTAATTATTTTATTGCTAAGACTAGGCAAGTCATTTATCGCTAAAGTATCCTAATTTCCAAATACCACACCTTCAACTTTATTTCACACATAAGATATGAAGTTGTTATTTTTCAATACATTCTTATATTACGATCTATCACCCTGTATAATTGAAGTGGTCTCTTAGGGCTATATTTGTTCGCAATTTAATCAAAATGAGTTATGTAACCATACCTAGTGAACAGTACTAAGTATGATTTACAAAGTGGAGAACTGATGTGTAATAATTGTTGTGATTTACAAATTATTATCGACAAAAAAATCATAACTGTCTAGTTTATAAGACATATATCGATTGTGTTTAATTTTTTTTACATATTTTATAGGTGTACATTTGAGTTAATAGTGCAGCTATTGTGAGGAAATTTGTGGTACTTGACATGTGAAAAATCATTAGAACTTGCAAATCGTTTTTTTGTATTTGTTATATTTCAGGTACCCACTTTGATCCATTTTCAACAATTTGTCTTTGTGAATTCCTTATTTTTTGGGGGTAAAATAGTAAGAGTGATCTACAAATGATTTTCATATGGTTTCAAGTTCATACATTTCCTAATTCCCAATTTCCTATTATATTATTCATTATTTTTTTTAAGTTTTCCAAATTTTCTCCCTTAACCCTTTAGAAAGCTAGACATATTAAATCAGTATTTATATAGTGTATAACGTTACGAAACTTAGTGATAGTCTCTTATATTTAAAAATATTTTTTTGTTATTTCGAGACGTTTTTATTCTGATATTTTGCCGCACAATGTATATACAAGTTGATTCAAAATCGGCGTACAAAGTTTCTAAAAAATATTTTGTACTCAAAATCCAGAAAATAACTTTACATTATTTGAAAAAAAAATTATGAATTTGCAATGTTTGTTTAATCTGTGATACAACGTCTGGAATTTTTGATCAAGATAGTCGGCGAAATGTTTTCGTAGAAACTTGCTTAATATGCACATCGATTTGTGCGTTCATTTTGAGTGCACCCTGTATATCGTGTCTTTTTATTGATTTCGGAGTTTTTCATCATACAGGGTAGAATTTTTGAGTGGGACACTGCCTTTTGTGAACCATTTACGCATATAATACATAGGAATATATAACGTTTCTGACTGACATATGGTTTTACTCCCATTTCTCACCCTTTCAATTTTTGGAAAAAATTGAATTAGCAGCTCTAAAAATTGATCCCGAAAACCAAGGCAACGAATCGGAGCAGTAGCTTGCGCATCCCATTTTAAAAGGTTTGGGGTGGATTTTACCAAAAGACGGACACCGTTATTTTCAGCCAATCACATTAAACAACCCACCGTCAAATTTTAGCAACCAATGGCATTTAAAGCATAAAAATCAATGGCTGTCAAACTATTAGATGACAGGTAAACATCAAAATGTTAAATAATTATTTTAAAAATCATATCGAAATAATTAATATTTTGAAAAATATGTAATATTTTACAAGTTTTGACGTCAAGGTCGTTGATTACATTATTAAATTGCATGCTTGGAAAATTTGATTATTTTATCGGGTGCTGTTGCGTCTTGTAGAACTTCAGATTTCACTATTTCTTCTCTTAAAACGTTTAGAAGGTAGTCTGGTAGATTATTTAGGAACAAAAAAGTGTGGATGAAGCACGCTTTTCATGAAATTTTTTTCCCAAAACTGTATTTTTAGCTGTTCTTTCCACCATTATTTCCACCGCCATCTATCTGCCGCATGACGTACATGTCTGTGCATATGTCATATATGAGAGGCGCTTGCCTGCGGTGTTGCCGGATTGGGCTCAGGATCTAGGGAAAAATATGAAAAGTGGAATTTTTTTTTAATGGATCACAAAAACGAAAAACTGAAACAAACAACAATAGCAAAATAACAGGCAATTCCTAATAAGTATAAATCAAAAATAACAGTAGTAAGCTAAAGAATGATAAATTATAAATAATTATAAAAAACAGCAGTAAAATAAAGCAATTCTAAGTGATTATAAAACACAAAAAATAAAAACAGTAGTAAAACAAAAAAAACAATTCCATGTAATTATGAAAAACAAAAAATAACAAACGGTAAAATAAACCTCAATGCTAAGTGATAACAAAAAATAATAACAGTAGGAAAAAGCCCATATAATAATAAAAAGCAAAAAATAACAATAGTTGAATAAAAAGCAATTCCAAGTGACAACACAAAACAAAAAATTAAAACAGTAGTAAAACGAAAAACAATTTCATTCCATCCAAATTGCTTTTTATTTTACTGTTTGTTATTTTTTGTTTTTTATAATTACATGGAATTGTTTTTGTTTTACTACTGTTTTAATTTTTTGTTTTTTATTATCACTAAGAATTGCTTTTTATTTTACTGCTGTTTATTTTTTGTTTTATACTTAGTAAGAATCACTTTTAATTTTACTCCTGTTGTTTGTTTCAGATTTTTGTTTTTGTGTTTCATTAATTAATATAAATTTTCCACTTTTCATATTTTTCCCGAAATTTGCAGCCCAATCCGGCAACACCGCAGGCAAGCGCCTCTCATATATGACATATCCACAGACGTCAACGTCATATGGTAGATGGCGGTGGAAATAACTGCTAAAAAATACAATGTTTTGGGAAAAAAATTTCATTGAAAGCGTGCTCTTTCCACACTTTTTATGATTTAAAATAATCTGTCAGACTACCTTCTATAAGTTTCAAGTGAAAAAACAGTGAAGACACAACGCAACAGCACCTTTTAACGTTTTTAAGCTCAAACCATCCGAAATAAAAGATGAGGGTTCCTAAGCAATGATCCATAATACTCCTGATCAAACCTTTTATTCAGTATAAAAATTGCATTTTCGCTACACGCCAATATCCAAATACGTAAAAAATAGAAACTAAACAATTACAACCCTGTAAAATTTCCAAAAACAGCATAATCCTACTCCAGCGGAAAATATGATTGCAACAACTGTTCATAGATTTCCTTATCCTCGGGCATAAACAGACAGAATATCACCCTGTCAACTTGGTCTCCGTGCGCTTCTAGATGTTTCCTGACCGCATAGGCTGCAACGTGCGCTGCCGGAAGGTTAGGGTAACCGTAGATGCCTGTCGAGATGCAAGGGAAGGCTATGCTTCGTAGTTTGTTGGCAAGCATTACTTTCAAGCTGTTGGTGTAGCAGTTTTTTAGTAAATCCGGTTTTTCGCCTCTGGGGCCCACTGTGTGGATAACATCTGGAATCAAATGTTACAGGAACCATGAACTACACAGAAACAATTTCAATAGGGGTGTCGGACAAGTTAGAAAAAGCAAGTATATGATTTGTGTTTATATATATATATATATATATATATATATATATATATAACTTGAGACGTGGTCATTGTCGTCTAGACCAGTTAGGTGAAAAATTGGCACACGCCCACAATTCGTTCCATCTTTCAACACAGACATTGACAACCTTCGGCCTTCTGTCAAAGGTTCATCTCACTTATTATTCCATAACCACCATTTTGTGCAATCATCAAGTGGCTTCACGACGTAATGCTCAAATGTTTTCTAAATAATTTTTAATCTGTCTTTAACTTGTCTTGTCATATTTTATATAATTTTAACCATTGTACCATGTATCCAGCTCTCACCATGTTACTGGACGTTTCCCTCATCCTATACGAAAACAACAATTAGCAACATCCTCACATACTACTTTAAGTTGATTCAATTTAAATTCATTTTACACTTTTGTTGCTACTGTTATCATTGTAATTGCAGCTCCTGATGATGATGGCAAAGTCCATTGAAAGCTAGAGAGAATTAAAAAAAGTATAAAGAGTCCTCTTTGCTTAAATTTTGTCGAAGTACCCAACAGAAGGCGGAAGCTTTAATTTTTCACCTATATATATTATTTGTATATATTTATGAGAAATCATCAAGGTAGAATGACACCCGATTATGTAGTAATATCTCAAAATTCCCATATCGGCACAGGACACATAATTCTGACGGATCCGTCAATGCCAGTTAGACAGAACCGTATTTTGCTTTGCTTTTTTGTACGCTACAGATTCATTTTGAACTTACTAACAGCCCTTTTATTTAGGAAAGTTCATTTGAATACAAAAAGCAAAACGTCACAAGTTTTACTAGATTTATACCCGATTCAGTATTGCCAATGTAACATAGCAGACCAACACAAAAATGTCACTTGCCAATCAGCTGTTCACCTCAGTAGACGTCAAACCATGATGGATACTCGTGAAATAGCGTATAAGGAAACACGTAAACAGAAACCTAAAGTGTGATTTTTAATTGTATGATGAGTGAATATTGAAAAATGGTTTTTCATATTTCCTGAAAAAGTAGTCAAATGTTTTTTTTACACCGAAATAGCCGCGCAGGCAGAAGTCTAAATGTCAGGGTACTGGGGCTGCTATGAGGAGCATGTGAGCAATACTCAAGGGTAAGTTTGATATGTAATATTGCCAATACACCATGAGTATACGAATTTGGGGTATTAGTTGCTAAGTGAGTTGAAGATTGAACAATATTTTTTTGGTATTACATTTTGCCGGTAGCCTGTATCCTCCAGTGATTTTTGCCTCTCCTGTATCGCATCCACCAAGTGTTTTACATTCTTCAACTAAACGCGATCCAGCAGCCTTGTGTATGGCTCCATCTACACCACCACCTCCTAGTAACGAACTATTTGCTGCATTCACTATCGCGTCAATCTAGAAAAAATGATTTTATTCAAGTTCCAATCGAGAAATAACCAATGAAATACAGGGTGAAACAGAAAATATTGGCAATACTGTTAGAACATACAGTAGATGAAAGAATAATGAGAAAGTAAACACATGGCTCCTTGCTGAGATGATAATTTTGAAATTGAAGAGGTTTGAGGAAATTTGACCCTACAGAAAAGAACAAAATTATTTTCAATGCAATATCTTTTGCATTATTATAGTATGTTCACAACAGAGAACAGTTTGTTTCAAAAATGCTTGTTCATCTATGCTGCTCGTTACGAGTGGAGTCCCACAGGGTTCAGTTTTAGGACCTTTATTTTTTCAACATATATTAATGATCTGATAAACTCAACCGTCCTATTCAATTTTATTTGCAGATGATGTAAAAACTCATTAATGTCTTTATGGCCTCCTTGATTTTCATATTTTTCTACTATTCTGTGTGCGCTCTATTTTGGGGTTATGTTACAAATATCTATTTGCATCAAACTGTTAATGCTTTTGATTTATATCATATGTTATATCAGCCTGAAGTTTCCTACAGTTCAAAAGAAATAGGGGAGTGCTGACGCCGACAGGGAGCAGTAGGAATCTAGAAATACTCCAGCCTTTCTGCAGGAGAGAAAAGATTACGAAAATCAAGGGGCATCCTATAATAATAACTGTAGAAACGACTGATGATTAATGCATGATTTTTTTCGTGATGTTCTACCTCTAAGGTTGTGATATCTCCGCTAAAATATGAAATCTTATCTGCCAGAGCCTTGTTTTTCGAGCCATCAATCGTACTTCCTCCAAGCATAGCAATTTTCGGCAGCAATTCCTTTCCTTCGGCATACTGCCTCCAAGTTGGTATGTCCTCCAAGGTTACGTATTTCTTGTAAACTTTACGTTTCTCCTCACGATCCATTTTGAGGAATTTTTCTTTTTCCGCTTGCCAGTTGCTCATTTTGCTTATTTGAGTAAAACCGGGTAGATACTTTGGACTTTTAAATAAACAAGTTGCTCGCGAAACAGCTGATTTTGACTGACTGAAACATTTTGACTAGGATAGAGATGGGTTGGCGGACTCGATACTTTAGAATATCGAATCTGAAATAGGCTGATAACCATATTGGCAACACTGCTTATTGCATGATAGCCAACATCAAATAAAATAATTTTTGTAGATTTTATTAATGTTGGAAACACTGCGCGTCTCGGTTGCAGTTCACCCAACTTTGAAGAAACAAATCAATTAAAAATTGAATTATTACTTTCTTTTTAATGTGGTTTTTAAGCAAGAAAAATGTTTGAAAATCAAGGGGGTACTTAATATGAAGACATTTCTTTGCTGGTACATTTTACGTATAAAACATGTTATTTTAATCACCCAATGTATTTCAAAAGAAAAAAATAGAGGGACAAAAGAACCACGCAATTTCTTTATGGAAATCGGACTTCCGTTGAAATGGATGAATTTTTGATATGTTGCGTATCTTACCATCCTGAACAAATGTCTCAGTGGGCACAACCTCTTAAATCTTGCAGGTTATCAGATAAAAATGGCTGAAGTTGAGTTATCTTAGACTAAACAGTGCATAGCACATTCACCATTTTATGAGATCAAGTACGCCGTCGACCAGAGATGATCGGGAACTCGAAAAAGATACAAAAACAAGGTTTATAACCAATTTTACATCAATTTTCATGACACCAGACGTTCAAAATAACCTATACCTGGAATTAGAATATTTTGCGATCATGATAAATGACAATATTCACCTTCACGAGACGACAGTGACATGAGTTGTTTTGAGAAAACATTTTTATTTGTTTTACAAGTGTAAAGCTTTGGTTGGCGATCTGGCTGTTACGATGGAAATTATGTGTGAGCGTCCAAATACAGCGTATGATTTGACACAATTTTTCTAATATGCTTCTGTCTCAAATGTCTTCGCATTTTGTAAAATCTTTGCTCAGAATTAAACCGCAAAGTAAATCCGGATACACCGGAAATCTGATATGAGTGACTGTAACCGTCGTCTCGTGAATGTGTATCATTTATCGTTATTTTGCGTCATAAAAATTGATGTAAAATTACTTTCAAACCCCGTTATTGTATCTTTTTCGATATTTTAGAGTATCGATACTTCCTGAAACGATACATGGTATCGATATTCTTCGTGGATCGAAGCATCCCTAGTCGCCAGTAGGCGTGTCTTGTTGAGATCGGTGGTGGGGTAGTCGACAAACACGACGGTGTTGCCAGATTTCGGCTAGCATCACGCGCTGGGAAGCTTATTTTTGAAACAACCCCCGTATAAACCGCGTAATCTCGTGAATAATTGACGGGATTAATCCCTCTGATGTGCCGAATAATCTTAATGCATTCGCAAACCCGTTGCATCAATCTACGCTTTATCGTATGTAAACAAAGACGCATACATGCCGATGCATTTACACTTGCACATGTGTTCGTAATGTAAAAGGGTGTCCGCCATTGTTTCAGTTAGCGCGATTTGCACAGGTTTTAGTGATTCTGGAGATAAGTGACACGGTGGAAAAAGTGGAAGTTTTGGAGAATACGCTGCGTATAGTAGATGAATAAATTAGGTAGGTTTATAGTTTTTATATTATAGCCCAAACTCAAAGGTCTTAAGTTAAAAAAAAATGATACAAAGCTTAAATTTGGATGGCCGTTGCTAATAATGCTAAGTATAAAAAAGAATTCGCGAGGCGCCTAAAACATTCGACATTTTAAAAATGTTTTTTGTTTGTATCTCAAAAATATGGGAATTTTTAGAAATCTGTATCGAAAGAAATTTATTGTAAGATTAGTATTTTACATTAACTACTTAGTTTTCCAGGTGTGAGATAGATCAGAAAAATAAGATAGTTGTTTAGCGTAGTTTTGGGTACCACATTTAAATTTTTTAACATTGCCCCACCTTCCCTTAAGAAAACGGGAATCAAAATAACTCCCATTGACAAAATGTTCGCACCGCCCGCGTTTGTGATTCGGGAATGTCTGCAAACTTTAGAACGTTACATTCTGGGTCACACATTGTATTTTCACTCGACGACATTATTAAATACGAACGCGGATTTTATAGATATGACCTTTCCAACGTGGAACGTGCTACGTAACAACGCGCGCTGTAACAGTTTCCCAGTGGAGGAACTATAAGAAAACCTGAATCAAAATGACTTTAAGCTCCCCCTTGACACAATTTTCGCACCGCCCATGTTTAACAGTGCGCGTTGTTACGTAGCATGTTCCACATTGGAAAGGTCATATCTATTTCCAGAATATATGTGATAAATTTTAGAACATTACGTTCTGATTCACTCATCGTATGAACTACATTTTATAGATATGACCTTTCCAACGTGGAACGTGCTATGTAACAACGCGCGCTGTAACAGTTTCCCAGTAGAGGAACTATAAGAAAACCTGAATCAAAATGACTTTAAGATCCCCCTTGACAAAATTTTCGCACCGCCCATGTTTAACAGTGCGCGTTGTTACGTAGCATGTTCCACATTGGAAAGGTCATATGTGTTTCGGGAATATATGTGATAAATTTTAGAACATTACATTCTGATTCACTCATCGTATGAACTACACTATTAAATATGAACGCGGATTTTATAGATATGACCTTTCCAACGTGGAACGTGCTACGTAACAACGCGCGCTGTAACAGTTTCCCAGTAGATGAACTATAAGAAAACCTGAATCAAAATGACTTTAAGATCCCCCTTGACAAAATTTTCGCACCGCCCATGTTTAACAGTGCGCGTTGTTACGTAGCATGTTCCACATTGGAAAGGTCATATGTGTTTCGGGAATATATGTGATAAATTTTAGAACATTACATTCTGATTCACTCATCGTATGAACTACATTATTAAATATGAACACGGATTTTATAGATATGACCTTTCCAACGTGGAGCGTGCTACGTAACAACGCGCGCTGTAACAGTTTCCCAGTAGAGGAACTATAATAAAACCTGAATCAAAATGACTTTAAGATCCCCCTTGACAAAATTTTCACACCGCTCATGTTTAACAGTGCGCGTTGTTACGTAGCATGTTCCACATTGGAAAGGTCATATGTGTTTCGAGAATATATGTGATAAATTTTAGAACATTACATTCTGATTCACTCATCGTATGAACTACATTATTAAATATGAACACGGATTTTATAGATATGACCTTTCCAACGTGGAGCGTGCTACGTAACAACGCGCGCTGTAACAGTTTCCCAGTAGAGGAACTATAATAAAACCTGAATCAAAATGACTTTAAGCTCCCCCTTGACAAAATTTTCGCACCGCCCATGTTTAAAAGTGCGCGTTGTTACGTAGCATGTTCCACATTGGAAAGGTCATATGTGTTTCGGGAATATATGTGATAAATTTTAGAACATTACATTCTGATTCACTCATCGTATGAACTACATTATTAAATATGAACACGGATTTTATAGATATGACCTTTCCAACGTGGAGCGTGCTACGTAACAACGCGTGCTGTAACAGTTTCCCAGTAGAGGAACTATAATAAAACCTGAATCAAAATGACTTTAAGCTCCCCCTTGACAAAATTTTCGCACCGCCCATGTTTAACAGTGCGCGTTGTTACGTAGCATGTTCCACATTGGAAAGGTCATATGTGTTTCGGGAATATATGTGACAAATTTTAGAACATTACATTCTGATTCACTCATCGTATGAACTACATTATTAAATATGAACACGGATTTTATAGATATGACCTTTCCAACGTGGAGCGTGCTACGTAACAACGCGCGCTGTAACAGTTTCCCAGTAGAGGAACTATAATAAAACCTGAATCAAAATGACTTTAAGATCCCCCTTGACAAAATTTTCACACCGCTCATGTTTAACAGTGCGCGTTGTTACGTAGCATGTTCCACATTGGAAAGGTCATATGTGTTTCGAGAATATATGTGATAAATTTTAGAACATTACATTCTGATTCACTCATCGTATGAACTACATTATTAAATATGAACACGGATTTTATAGATATGACCTTTCCAACGTGGAGCGTGCTACGTAACAACGCGCGCTGAAACAGTTTCCCAGTAGAGGAACTATAAGAAAACCTGAATCAAAAAGACTTTAAGATCCCCCTTGACAAAATTTTCGCACCGCCCATGTTTAACAGTGCGCGTTGTTACGTAGCATGTTCCACATTGGAAAGGTCATATGTGTTTCGGGAATATATGTGACAAATTTTAGAACATTACATTCTGATTCACTCATCGTATGAACTACATTATTAAATATGAACACGGATTTTATAGATATGACCTTTCCAACGTGGAGCGTGCTACGTACCAACGCGCGCTGTAACAGTTTCCCAGTAGAGGAACTATAAGAAAACCTGAATCAAAATGACTTTAAGATCTCCCTTGACAAAATTTTCGCACCGCCCATGTTTAACAGTGCGCGTTGTTACGTAGCATGTTCCACATTGGAAAGGTCGTATGTGTTTCGGGAATACAAGTATGTGACGGAACATTACATCCCGAGTCGCACGACACATCTGCAAGCCCACATTGAATCTTGTTAACCTTGTGTTCTACCTCTTCAGTTCAGTGTAATTCTGAGATATTTTACTGATTGGGATAGAACTAGTCTAGTCCCAAAGGTCTTCAAGACAAGCTCGTCAAACCACCTTCTTTTAGTGAATAGAATCAGCTCGGTCTTTCCAACGTTGTTGGAAAGATCGACATCCCTACACCACGATTCCACAGCACGCAAATCTGCATAATCTAAGAGACCGTTCTACAAAAACGAGCCCTAACCACTATGCTTAAGTCATCAGCAGAGGCTTGCACATGAGCACCCGCACTGCTTAGCCTAAGGAGATACCTTCCCCTGAGTAAATTTGCAATCTCCGCAATTTTTGCAGCTGACACATAGTAGTAATTTACAAAAAGTTTCCTCTTGCCACTATTTAATAGACCCCCTCCCCCTTAAAAGATATATTCGCGTACGCCCATGGTTTGGCGGTTGTGTTATTGAGATACAAAAGCATAAGACATGGATTATTTTCAAAAGACTATTTTTATAATATTAACAAATGTTAGACAAAAATAAAACGGATAATTATATCTACTATTCTAACCTGAATCCTAAAATCTGTTTCCCGTATCAAAGTATCATTTTGATAGGACTAGTTCATGAAAATGTTTGAAGATGCAAAGTGAAAGGTCCTTTTTCGAGTAATTTGATTTAATTTTCCACTAGATATGAGCTTGTTTCCCGCAGCTGATCGTCAAATATTCTTTTTCGGTCGTAAGATACTAAGATCACACATATATTTATCGATACCGATTTTCGAAAAATACCACATTTTTCGACATTTAAAGAAATGAAACATCAACGATTGATTTTTAGCTAATAAAATACATAGCTTTTCTAGATACTTTATTTGCCAGAAATATACCTTTATCATCCGTTTTCTAGAAAAGTAAACAAATGACATGTATCTATCCCAAATAGAAAAATTGTTATCTTGTTCTAGTCCTGAGGAGTGTGTTTACGAAGTATGATTTAATGTGCCTGATATTCGTTAAATTTTTATAGCAGATAACTGATGTCCTCTACGTACTATGCTGAAAAGTAGAATACAACCATATTTCTTTTCCACCAATTAAGAAATTTGATATTACAAAATCAATTTGCGCCACAGAAAAATAACGATATCGAGAATATAACTTCGACTTCTTCACCTAGCCACATTTTACTAAGGCTTATTTATCTCATATCCAGGGTGTTTCAGTTTATTGTTGCATAACTTTAAGATTCGATAGAACTTTTAAAATTAATGCATAAAGTCTATATAAACATGGGTCGAAAAATGCGTGGTTTCCGAAATACAGGGTGTTAATCAATTTAATTTGTTATTATTATATTATAATATTGGAAAATTAAACAAATTAATATTCTGTTTTTTTGTGTTTATTTGGAGTTAGGAATTATTGCTGTGTTTAAAAACACAATCTAAACGATCATCTTAATTACTTGTAATACCCAAATCGAAAATGTAAAAAAAATATTATTTTCCCATAAATAATTAAAAATGCATCGAACCTTAAAAATCGAAATATCTCAAAAACGGCTAACTATAACGAAAACTCACAGGAGAGCTTTTTTATGTTGAAAAGTGCGAAGAATCAGTTTTTTTATTCAAAAAGCAAAAAATTGCACTAAGAAAAAATTTTAATACACTACAGGTACAGTAGAGAGCGCCCTCTAGCGGCTACAGTAAAACTATGCCTATGGTTCGTTTTGTCGTACCAAAAAACCCTTGTATACCAATTCTCACTGTTATACATCAAATATTGTTCGAAATATTTAAAAAAAACTATTTTAGAAAGTAAATTTAAACACACTGTATTTCAGAAGCCATGCATTTTTCGACCCATGTTTATATAGACTTTATGCATTAATTTTAAAAGTTCTATCGAATCTTAAAGTTATGCATCAATAGACTGAAACACCCTGTATATTTTTACTATTTCAATTTAGGATTGCATTTTTGATGCATTAGATACGAACCACCCTGTATAATACGTTCCTTGTTCAATACAATCAATAAACAATGTGAAACTGAGTATAAAGCAGATGGTACATAATGCGTAAATATATCTATAACAAAAGCATTTACAACAGAATCTAATTTTAATTTAGAATGATGAGTAGGGTGTAACAGATATAACTTTATGCGATACTATTGATTAACGTATCCTGACTGGAGATAGCCAACCTAGTGCTATAATCATGCGTCCGAAAAATTATCCGAGATGATATGAAATACCGTAGCGTCATCTATGAGAACTTGTCACATCTACTTTGGAAAGGTTAGTGTCTCATAGATGGCGTCACGCGCGTAAGGGCGACACGGCGGCGGTAATGCCAGAACACTTACGGAGACCGGTACGCCCGCCGATGAACCCAGAGAGCGGAAGCAGAAACATTTAATTCAAGGGGAAAGCTATGATAAGTTAGATAAATAAAAAAATAGATATACCCACCAGCACCACCGTAAAACCTTCCACGTCACATTTCTTTACTCCGAAAGTTTTCTTCAAAAATGACCAGGATCCTCCGAAACGTCAAAAAATGTTTTTTTTGTTAGTATCTGGCCTTTTTTTAGCTACTTATTCTTAAAAAAAAATCAAAGCAATGCATTCAATTTTGTGGAGATAATTAACCTTTTCTGTTGGTACGTCGAAAAAAGACGTCTAGCGGCTACATGTGAAACTAACAAAAGTTCAAATATACTAATTGACATATAAATCCGAACACCCAATTTAAATGGTTTTATTTTAATAAAAGTTGGTGAATGTATTTATCTTACATACGAACCACCCTGTATAATACGTTCCTTGTTCAATACAATCAATAAACAATGTGAAACTGAGTATAAAGCAGATGGTACATAATGCGTAAATATATCTATAACAAAAGCATTTACAACAGAATCTAATTTTAATTTAGAATGATGAGTAGGGTGTAACAGATATAACTTTATGCGATACTATTGATTAACGTATCCTGACTGGAGATAGCCAACCTAGTGCTATAATCATGCGTCCGAAAAATTATCCGAGATGATATGAGATACCGTAGCGTCATCTATGAGAACTTGTCACATCTACTTTGGAAAGGTTAGTGTCTCATAGATGGCGTCACGCGCGTAAGGGCGACACGGCGGCGGTAATGCCAGAACACTTACGGAGACCGGTACGCCCGCCGATGAACCCAGAGAGCGGAAGCAGAAACATTTAATTCAAGGGGAAAGCTATGATAAGTTAGATAAATAAAAAAATAGATATACCCACCAGCACCACCGTAAAACCTTCCACGTCACATTTCTTTACTCCGAAAGTTTTCTTCAAAAATGACCAGGATCCTCCGAAACGTCAAAAAATGTTTTTTTTGTTAGTATCTGGCCTTTTTTTAGCTACTTATTCTTAAAAAAAAATCAAAGCAATGCATTCAATTTTGTGGAGATAATTAACCTTTTCTGTTGGTACGTCGAAAAAAGACGTCTAGCGGCTACATGTGAAACTAACAAAAGTTCAAATATACTAATTGACATATAAATCCGAACACCCAATTTAAATGGTTTTATTTTAATAAAAGTTGGTGAATGTATTTATCTTACATTCCGGGTTTTATACTGCTTTTTTTTAATTCACTAACGCTCTAAAAATGAATATTTCAGCCGCAGTAAAGAATCAACGTTGGCGGATTTTGGTTCTTGACATCCTTTACTATCGGTTACGATGCCTAGAGTACGGAGACCTGTACGATTTCGTCAACTTAGTGAGTTTGATAGGGGCCGTATAATGGGACTCCGGGAAGCTGGACTTTCTTTTCGGGCAATTGCAGTTAGAGTGCAAAGAAGTGTAGACACTGTGGTTAGGTGTTGTCAGGCATGGCTTCGAGAAGGCCGTACGCAAAGTGCAAGGGGCACTGGACGCCGCCGTAGGACAACAGACCGTGAAGATCGCCGCCTAAGATTATTGGCCTTACGGGACCGTTTCTCCACTACCAGGTCCATTGCAAATGAATGGTTTGCAGAACACGGAAGACCTATTGGCATGCGAAGTGTTTACCGACGAATGAGAAGTTTTGGCTTGTTTTCATACCGGCCACACTGGGTCCTCCCTTTAACTCGAGAACACCGACGTAATCGCCTTGAGTGGTGCAGACAACGGTCACTATGGGATCAGGAATGGAACAGTATTGTCTTTAGTGACGAGTCTCGATTTTGTTTAGGCATGCACGATGGTCGTGCCAGGGTTAGAAGGCGACGTGGTGAAAGGAGGAATCCACAGTTTTTTGTTCAAAGACATGTTCATCACACTGTTGGAGTTATGGTTTGGGGTGCTATAGCTTATGGTTCCAGGTCACCTTTAATCTTCATCAGAGGTAACATGAACGCCCAACGTTATATCCATGAAGTTCTAGAACCCCCTCTTTACCCTATCTTGACACCCTGGCAGATCCAACTTTCCAACAAGATAATGTCCGACCACATGTTGCAATAGTCACAATAGACTTCTTTCAACATAATGATGTCATATTGTTACCATGGCCACCAAGATCTCCCGACTTATCCCCAATTGAGCACGTGTGGGATATGATGGGTAGGAGATTGCTCAATTTGCAACGTCCTCCTCAGCTCTAGAAGCACTTCGAGAGGAGTTGGTGGTTGCCTGGAATGAGATACCACAGGAGGACATTGACCACCTGATCAGAAGCATGCCTAGGCGCGTTGGAGAATGCGTAGCACATCAGGGTGCATACACACATTATTAAAGGTCAAAGGGCTTTAAAGCAGTGCAATCATTTTGAAATTTTTATCATTTACTTATTATGCTTCATTAAGTACTTATAAAAATTTTTATTAAAATAAAACCATTTAAACTGGGTGTTCGGATTTATATGTCACTTAGTATATTATAACATTTGTATCCCAAGAATAGCTTTTTTCACTTTAATGCAACTGACTCCTATAATATCCTACAAAGTTTCGGCTGGTATTTCCAAAATAAATAATCCGCCTAAATGATTTGCGATGCATTTCCAACATTGCACCGAATTTCAGTTCCAGGAACAAAGATAATAACAGATCGGTGATTATTTTAGGAGGCATGTTGAAGAGCACAACTTCAATTAGTTTGAATCTCTAAGCTGGAAATAACATATACATCGAACGCGAGCAATATGTCTGGAACAACTAGCTTCATGTTTATAGTGATATCGACATCAACTTTAGTACAGGTGAGTTTATTGATACGGGGCGTTAATAAAGTGTCTGACCAAACGTTAGATGCTAAACCCTCAGTAGTAGAAAGATTTATTTAGTAGGGGAGACCGGGGCTAGTAGTCACAATTTTCAGTAATTCTTTTTTTTATTCGATCTGCACATATTTGGTGCATAACTAATATGGTTTATCCTTTCGGGACACTATGTAAAATCGATAAGGCTCTAAAATAATTCACAATATTAAATTAAAATGTTTCAAAATACGGAAACAAATGTGACAACGTGCCCCTTGCTGGGGCTGGATGTCGCATTACTTGTTGTTGGTTGTCACGTGTGTTTTAGATCATTAATAATTTATGATATCATACTTTTAAACGTATTTATTATTACAAAAAATGCTTATTAAACACCAAATCCTTATGAGAAAAAAGTAGAAGAGTTTTTTACAATTAGTCACTATCGCAGTCCATCAGTGCACGCATCATGAGACCAACCATTACACGATGAGCATTTCACCCATTCTTCATTTGGCGCGCTGTTAGAAAATGGTTCAAGACAAATCAAGCAAAAACATTCTTCTCCATCAGTTTCATTATCTGAACAGATTTCTTCATTTTTTTTTCTGAATCAAAAACGTCTCTTTTCACTGTTTCGCTGTTCCTCTTTTTCTTGTTCCAGCATTTATTTTTCTCTTTCTCTAATTCGACTTTTACTGGAGTGTCAGTGAATATTGCATTCCCTCGTTTACGACGGTAAACTCGATTCGAGGGTAAAAAGAGAGCATGAGAATACCATTTGCTTCAGTCCTTCTATACTCAGATGTGATCCATGGTTATCTAGTAAAATGAGGCACAGTCTTGCCACAGTACTTTTCACATGAAGGTGAACAAATCTAAGAAACTCCACGAAATGTGACTCGTTCATCCAACCTGATGGGTTTGCAGAACCTTGTGAGCCAGGAGGAGCCGAATTTAAAAAATTTTGTTTGAAATGTACCCGTGGAAAAATAAAAAAGGAGGTATGGAATTTTCCAATAGCTGATACTGCACTTGCTAAAGTAACAAGAGTTCCTCTTTCTGATGAAACTATCGAACCAACCTGTTTGAATCCTCATCTGGCAACAACGCGGTCGGGTCTTTGGACAGTTGTCATCCCAGTTTCGCCCATGTTCCAGATTTCGTGAGGCTCAAATTTATGTTTTTCCATAACTGAAGCTAAATTATCAAAAAATGCGTTGACGTTCGTTTTATTGAAACTACTGGCTCTTGCTAAACTGGTTGCTTCCGGTTTGCGAATAGACAGTACAGGATGACGTTATAGAAACGCACTAAACCAGTCAGGACCAGCTATTTTATGGTGCTTCCAATTTTCCGGCATTTTCAAGGAATTAGCATTAGCAAATTCATATGCCAGTCCACGTATACTTTATCTGAAGTCACTTGAAACACTGTGAAATACCGGGTGCGTTTTATATATCTATATTTAACACGCTCTGTTGCTGCAAAAATCGCCAAATTTCGCAGCAAATATCCCCCGTATAAGATCAAAGGCAGTTTCACCGGTCCACGTGGAGTAAAGCACGCCTATGCGTGGACATAGCCAATGAGAAAGCGTGTGTTTCAGAGCTCCGAACAAGTGCAGGTGGCTACTGAAAATTGAAACAGTTTAGCCAGTGCCATGTAGCGGTGAATAAACGTGTTTTCTTTAGCCTGTCCGTGTTTTTTCATAGATTTTATTAGTTTGTGTGTTTTTGACTTTTGAATACTCAGTTTACTTGTTGATTTAATTGTTGTGTTGATTGTTCTTGTGTGTCCCAAATATGGCTCTTTGGAGACCTTGGGAAAATGCTCCAAGCCACGGGGAGATGGTTGATGAACCTGTGCAGGCAGAATTCTTTCATAAAGATTTAGAGGAACAGACCCAAAGAGTAATCCTAAATATGTATGATTGTCTGAAAAACGAAAATCCAGATTCCTCGCAAAATCAAGTTTTAAACAGAATTTGTACCCTGACAAAAATCAGTCGGTCTACCATTTATCGGGTTATAAAAAGGGGAGATGTAGTCAACCATTCCTTCCACAGAAAGCGCATAGGGCAAAAATTAAAAAGAGTAGACGTGGGTTTTCAGGAAGATATTCGTCGTATAATATACGGATTTTATAAAGAAAATTTGGTGCCCACGTTGGAAATGATACGGGATAAATTAAAAGATTATCCTGAAGATTTTTATAATTACAAATGCTTAGACTCACTGCACTGTATTGTAAAATTGTGTGGTTTTCAATACAAAAAATTAGATAAAAGAATGGTGATTATGGAGTCGTCTCGAATCGTTGAATTGCGCCAAGAATTTTTGCACAAAGTTAAAATATATAGAGAGCAGAAAAGAAATCTGATTTACCTGGATGAAACGTGGTATGATACCCATGATGTTGTGCAGTACGGCTGGGTTGACGACAGCAACAAGTGCATTTTAAATGCACCATGCAACCGTGGAAAACGAATCATCATTCTCCATGCTGGCAGTGAAAATGGATTTATACCTAATGCCTTGCTGTTATCTGCCAAAAATATCAAAGAATCATGTGCCGACTATCATGAGGACATGACCTCCGACTTATTTGAAAAGTGGATAGAGCAGCAGTTAATACCAAACATTTCCCCAAATTCAGTGATTATTATGGACAATGCGCCATACCATTCCCGACAGAAAAACAAAACATTATTGATTTTATGAAGGATAAGGGAATGGAGATACCAGAAAAATCAACCAAAGCCATATTATTGGATCTTATTAAAAAAGACAAAAATTTGAAAAAGAGTATGTTGTTGACAATCTGCTTCAGCAAAATGGCCATGAAGTATTACGTCTACCTCCCTATTACTGCATTTTTAACCCGATTGAGTTGGTCTGGGCTGCTTTAAAAAAAAAGTAAGAAAACATAATCAGACCCCTCAATTAAGTGAATGGCTATTGGCCACAATAAGAGATGCAGTATCTCATATTGCTGCCACAGACCTATGGAAGGAGTGTACTAGGCATATTATTGAAAAAGAAAATGAATATTGTGCTTTGCCTCCTGTAAATCCCGTTGTAATTCCTCTACAAGATGACTCTAGCGACAGCTCCGAAGGCGAGGATGATATATAAATACCTATAATGTAAGTCTTTATATACCTACCTGCTATGTAAATATTTGCCTATGTCAAACGTTGGAATTCTGTAATTTTTCCATTTCTTAACTTTCAGTCAACATAAATTAAACTCCCAATATAAGTATTTTTTATCCCCAATCAAAGATAGTAAAATCCATTTATTGTGATATAAAAACATTATTATTATCGTTCTAAATAAATGACCGCACGCCTATGATACGTCATGAAATTGCAAAGGACGCGCCGACCAAAGGTTTTTATGCTATTTCAAGTGACTTCAGATAAAGTATACTTCCTTGGGTGATAATCCAAAATAAATATCAGATGCTTTGAGTACATATTCCACTAGATGATTTTCAAGTTCAGGCTCAAATACTAAATGATTTTTGATGTAGCCAACTGAAGTTGACGGCGCAACAATTCGATCATCAAGTAATTCAGACTCTGGAATTTTCTTACAGTATCATTACATACGTAGAATGATGTGCAAAGCAAATCGTCTAGTGTGGGGGCTGGTTGTCCCATGTGACAAGAAGCCCCCCTAATTTGAGACAACCTGCCCCACTAGATAATTAATTTTTAAGGTTATATAGCGTCACTAAATAAAAAAATTCAAAGTCAATACTTACGTTAAGTCGTATTCGGATTATTGAAGAGCAAAATAAATTCAACAGTTCGTTTTATTATCAAATGTAGTCTCGAAAACACAAATTATGTGGCAAACGAAAAATTTACTCAGGTTAGGCCATTTGTTTATTTTTGTGTGTGCGACCTTAATCTACCAACGACAACTTTCGTACTGAATACAAGTGCTCTGCGCGGACGCAGAAACGATGTGTAGCGTTAAATCTTGCGGAGCTGCTGAGATTTAAGAATTGTGACAACCAACCCATGTGACAACCAGCCCCGGTCTCCCCTACGCTTAACTGCATAAAAAGAATAATTATAGACAACATAAAATTCAGGCCGTATGATGCATATGCTGGGAAGGCTTCCAGATTTACTTTGAATTTTGACATAGTTTCTTATTTTTTTATCTCTGTGACTGTTTATATTTGAGTAATTTGAATTTTGCGTTTTTTTGTCCATGGCAGATCGTTTATGTATAAAATAAAATGAAGTGGTCTCAGGATGCTGCCTTGTGGAACACCTAACGTATTTTCAATTTTTGATAAAACAGTGTTATTGACTTCATTAATGCTAAGAAGAAACGTTCTTCCAAAAAAGGTTTGATAACGTCGGTATATAGGGCTTTAAAATGGATTAGAAATTCGTTTCTTTTTCTTTGATAAAGTCGTAATAACTAAGCAGATTTGTTGAACAGACTTTTTTGTATCATAACTAGGAACACCCTTGATTAGGTCACTTTTCATAAAAAAAACGCAGCTTGCATTTTTACAGTCTTTTAAGCAATTCAACAACAAGAAATCTGTTTTATTATCGCTTGTAAAGTAGATATTCTATAATTTCAGGCGTCTTACCATTGCAAAGAGTTTAGTATGATGGAGGCAACTTTCTGTTGCTACGAGTTCGCTCTTTTTCACGGTAAGTCAGTTTGCGAAAAATATAACAAAGACCTACGGATGTTTGTATTTTTTTCAGAGGAATCGGGAAACTACATCAAACTTTACGCATTCATCTATGGAAAAAATATCAGGATCAATATCAGTTTGGAAGAAGTGTTAGGTAGGATTTCAACAGCACCAATTTATCAAAATGAGACCAAGTGAATTAGTCTGTAATCTGCTTTACCACAATGTGTGATTTTTATAGGGTTTCATTAAATTTTGTGTTGCAGAACCAGACGATGCGCTAGAAATTTTTGTTACTGATGAAAATTATGAGTATCGTGGAGCTCAAGATACATTATCGGTGAGTTAAATATTGGGGCAGTTGATTACAAATTTATGTGAAGTAGGTGGGAGGAATCCTTAACGATTGTGTCAAAAAGCAATCATAAACAAAGTAATTTTAAAAAAATAAAAAAAAACGGCTGCAATAACTGAAGAGTATGAAGTTTAAATTGTAATATTAGGACTAATCTAAGGACACCTCGAATACCAATGTTTTGATTCAAAATTCGCTATCTTGTTCTATGAAATACCTAGTGTTACTCGCAATATCAAGACAAATCTAGAGACATCTCATACGTCAAAATCTATCATGATATTTGAGCTGTAGCCTGTGAAATAAAAATTTCAAAGTTACAATTTTCGAAGAATTTCCGATTCTTTTTTATATACTAAGTGACATATAAATCCGAACACCCAGTTTAAATGGTTTTATTTTAATAAAATTTTGTATAAGTACTTAATGAAGCATAATAAGTAAATGATAAAAATTTCAAAATGATTGCACTGCTTTAAAGCCCTTTGACCTTCAATAATGTGTGGATGCACCCTGATGTGCTACGCATTCTCCAACGCGCCTAGGCATGCTTCTGATCAGGTGGTCAATGTCCTCCTGTGGTATCTCATTCCAGGCAACCACCAACTCCTCTCGAAGTGCTTCTAGAGTCTGAGGAGGACGTTGCAAATTGAGCAATCTCCTACCCATCATATCCCACACGTGCTCAATTGGGGATAAGTCGGGAGATCTTGGTGGCCATGGTAACAATGTGACATCATTATGTTGAAAGAAGTCTATTGTGACTGTTGCAACATGTGGTCAGGCATTATCTTGTTGGAAAGTTGGATCTGAAAGGGTGTCAAGATAGGGTAAAAGATGGGGTTCTAGAACTTCGTGGATATAACGCTGCGCGTTCATGTTACCTCTGATGAAGATTAAAGGTGACCTGGAACCATAAGCTATAGCACCCCAAACCATAACTCCAACAGTGTGATGAACATGTCTTTCAACAAAAAACTGTGGATTCCTCCTTTCACCACGTCGCCTTCTAACCCTGGCACGATCGTGCATGCCCAAACAAAATCGAGACTCATCACTAAAGACAATACTGTTCCATTCCTGATCCCAGAGTGACCGTTGTCTGCACCACTCAAGGCGATTACGTCGGTGTTCTCGAGTTAATGGGAGGACCCTGTGTGGCCGGTATGAAAACAAGCCAAAACTTCTCATTCGTCGGTAAACACTTCGCATGCCAATAGGTCTTCCGTGTTCTGCAAACCATTCATTTGCAATGGACCTGGTAGTGGAGAAACGGTCCCTTAAGGCCAATAATCTTAGGCGGCGATCTGCACGGTCTGTTGTTCTACGGCGGCGTCCAGTGCCCCTTGCTCTTTGCGTACGGCCTTCTCGAAGCCATGCCTGACAACACCTAACCACAGTGTCTACACTTCTTTGCACTCTAACTGCAATTGCCCGAAAAGAAAGTTCAGCTTCCCGAAGTCCCACTATACGGCCCCTATCAAACTCACTAAGTTGACGAAATCGTACAGGTCTTCGTACTCTAGGCATCGTAACCGATCGTAAAGGATGTCAAGAACCAAAATCCGCCAACGTTGATTCTTTACTGCGGCTGAAATATTCATTTTTAGAGCGTTAGTGAATTAAAAAAAGCAGTATAAAAACCGGAATATCCAACTGATAAGGCTGAAAATTTTTTCACTTGTTATTTACAGTAAGATAAATACATTCACCAACTTTTATTAAAATAAAACCATTTAAACTGGGTGTTCGGATTTATATGTCACTTAGTATACATAGATACATACATAACCACGCGCGAAAATCACAACCCTCCTTCTAAGGCAGTCGGGTAACTAGTAATGCTTTTTTGACACAATAATTTCACGATCCATCCTATTTGTCAATATTGTGCTTACGTTTTCAGGCAGGAAATTATATGGTTGAATTGACCGATATCGCAGACGTCAATTTGAAAAAATATATCGAATTATCGTTGCCCCAATTGAACATTTCCAGAGAGTTAAACTTAGGTAACGTGTCTTTCAAAGCGCAATTCCCTAGTTACGTCGAAACTTTTTTTAGCTTGTCCCGAGGTTTGCTGTGTGATATGCTCGTCGATGGTTGCCGATATCACAAATGTCACGATGTCGGGCCAATACGAATACCTTCTTTCTGTGTCTACTAATACATCTTCTAATTTAGAAATTATGACTATCAACTAGTAAGTTGTAAAACGTCAAGCCTTCCTACAGGGTGTTCCAAAAGTCGACGTCAAGCTGGAAACGGCGGATAGTGATCTATCAATCTAAGTCGTGCTTTTCAAATTATAGGCTTAAACATTGGAAAAATTTACAGCGTGTGATGATCTTTCAGTTCTCATGTCAACTGTTTGATAGGACAAGTGCGATTCCTATATCTACCTCATAGTCTTCTCCCTCGTCATGTTCCTCCATATTCTTGACTTATAATTACATTACATTTAACTCACTTAATTTTCGGCGCCAAGACGACAAATTTTCAATTGAGACGTCTCTTTTTTTAAATGAGATTGACATTGACCTGCCACCCGCTCGAACCTCCCCTATTTTTCGGAATAACTATTAAGCATCCCACAAACCGGCGCGAAATAATCGCGGCGAAGTATTCGCAACGAAATTCAGAGCGAAATTCGCAATCTGTTTCGCCTGTTTATTCATAACAAAGCGTCTTGTTCGCTCCGCGAACGTGAAGGTTTCGACAGATTGCGTACATTTTATTTTTGCCTTTTGCAATGAGCTCGTCTGCAGAAGAAGAGGAGGCACTTCTATTTCTTGCTTTAGAAGAGGAACAAAATGCACGGTAAGTTATGTTTATTTAACGCCATTTGATAGTTGGGTATGTATTAAGTTTAACGAAGTACATAAAACAAATATTTTCAATTTTGTTTAGGAAACGAAGGAAGTGGGTACATGATATTAACTTGGAACGAAATAAATTTGGGGAATACCATATCTTGATGCCACAACTTCGGCTGGATGAACAGCGCTTTTACGTATATTTTAGAATGACTCCAGAGTGTTTCGATGAAATATTGAACTTGGTGAAAGATGAAATACGAAAATCTGACACAAATTATCGTGAAGCTATTTCGCCAGAAGAACTACTTGCTATTACACTCAGGTAAAAAAATTATATGTATTAAAATTAGTAGGCTTATCGAATACGAAAACTTCTGGGATCGTGAAATAAACATTTTATTGTAATAATTGGACTACATGTTGCCACTAGGATTAAATGTTGCTAAATAATTCGAGGCAGAATTTGCCTCTTCTGTTGGGTATATTATTGGAGTAAACCCAGTGCCGCTTGGGAAGGACGACATACTACTATCATACATACTTGCAGAATTCTGGGTAAACGCTGAAGACATTTCTTCAATATGTTCAAATTCTTCGTGCGCTATTAATTCGGCTATTTTTAGTTTTATTCGGGCTTGACGCTTTAAGGGAAGTGTTTTCACAGTCTGTGCATGTGGCAAGAAAAGTGAATCAATGGCCTCGTTCTCTTTTTTAGGTTTTTTACCTTCAAAATAATCAATGAGCTGTTGTACAGACGAAGATGGTGGTTCATAGCGTTTTCTGCTCGTTTTATATTTTGGTGTAGTTGCAGTCTGCGGAAAGGTGTGCCCTGGAGTAGTCACTGCTGTAGTGTTCAATGAAGAAGGTGATGCTGTCTGTGTTGCCGAGGCGTTCTGTGCATCTTCTGCATCTACATCAGCATTTTCATCTTCTCCATGGCCGCGGTCTTCCAAATTTTCGGTTTCTACATTTCCAGCCCTTTCCTGATATATATTTGAGTTAAATTCGGCAGTCTCATAATGTATGACGTCAATATCTTTCACATTAGACGACATTTAGGCAAATGCCAAAAAAGGACGGAAAAATTCCATGTAGTCAGCCCACTGCCATTTTTTTATGTTGCCCACTGTTTGGCCGGTCTTTGGTTTGGTAGATTTTATATATTTTGCAAATGTGTCTCTGATATTCTTCCACCTTTTTTTTACTTCATCACCTAAAAACGATTTTTTTTATAGATTCCTTGCCACTGGTGACACCTTCTATACCATTGGGCATAGCTTTCGAGTTGGCTTTACAACAGTGAGTGCAATCGTAACCGATGTCTGTGAAGCGATATGCAGACATATGGAGCATATATATTTACCAGAACCAACAGAGAATATATGGAAAAAATGTGCTGAAGAATTTAAAAATAGATGGGGATTTCCCAATTGCATTGGCAGCGTGGACGGTAAACATGTAACAATCAAGAGACCTAACAACAGTGGCTCCAATTACTGGTGCTATTTACATAAATATTCAATAGTACTTATGGCCATTGTTGGCCCGGACTATAAATTTATATGTGTTGATATTGGTGGTTTCGGAAAAAATAGTGATGGGGGTATTTTCGAAACCTCAAACATGGGAATACGATTTGAACAAAATTTAATGAGTGTCCCTGCACCTAGATTTCTCCCTGGGCAAAATGAAATCTGCTCGTACGTCTTAATTGGTGATGAAGCATTTGCTTTAAAACCATACCTTATGAGACCATTTCCTTATAAGCAGACTTTAACAGACGTCAGAAAAGAGAAATACAATGTAAGACTTGGTCGAGCTAGAAGGGTCGTGGAAAATGCGTTTGGTATTTTGTCTCAAAAATGACGAATATTTTACAGGCTATTAGAAACTAACGTAGATACTACTATTCTAATTGTACGTACGGCATATGTTTTACACAATTTTTTACGAAGTAAAAGTGGCGATGACAAATATTTTCAATTCTTAGATCCCCCAGAACCCGTGCTTGGAGCTTTTACTGATATAGCAAATGATCCTCGGCGGGCAGCAAGGCTAGCATTTTCTACTCGTGACAAATTCGTAAATTATTTTAATTCTGATATGCCTATGCCCAATATATAGAATGTTCGTTTTCACATTTGTGTAGACTGTAAATTATTTAACAAGTTAATAAAAAATATTAGGTACATACCATTTGTATTTAATTCTTTTCCTATTTCCATCCAAATCTTGTCTTTCTTTCTCACATTCCTGTATTCATCGTTCGACAAATCATACAAACAAGGATACTTTTTCACTATTTCTATCAATAATTCCGTTTTTACCATTGCGAATTTTTGAAGAACGGCATCAAAAACGCGGTCAAAGGCGAACTGAAATACGCCGCGATAAAAACGCTGGAACAATCGCATTCGCTTCGCACAAGTCTGAGCCTGTCCGGAAACCGCCGCGTTTTAATCTGATCGCGAATTCATCGCCGCGAAATTTTCGCAGCCAAAGCGAATATTTCACGCCGGTTTGAGGGATGCTTTAAGATTTTTTCGCGTAGTGAAGGGAGCGGAAACAGAGAGAATTTCCCCCTCTAGAAGATTTGACAGTTTCAAATTACACCGGGAGTGGTTAGATGGCGGATGTTGCGCAAAATGTTTGCTTTGAGCTCCCTGATAAACTTAGCTGCCTTCTTTGAATCCGAAATAAAAAGACCGATCGTTTTTTGTGCAATGTACATATATGTCAATAAAATCAACCGTTTGATATGACAAGTGCGGTGCGGTGCATGATTATGACTCAATAATTTAACTCAATCTTCGGCATTGCGAAGACAAATTTTCGATTGAGATGTCAGTTTTTTTAATGACCTGTCAGCCGCTAGTACATCACCGATGTTAGGCTGTTAACCGTACCACGTGATTTTTTGACATTTGGATAACGACACATCCGTCTTCCCCTATTCCCGTTCTTCGCTAGTATCAGTTCCTCGAACTGCAGTGTGCTACACCGCGGACTCGCGAAAAAATTCTTAAATATGACTTGTCCTATCTTCCGTTTCCGGCTTGACGTCAACTTCTCTATAATAAATAACTTTTTTCTGTGACGGGAAAAAAGTTTGAATCTCTGTTGACAGGTAACAAAATGTCACTTTTAATGAAATTGCTTTTTTCCCCGGGAAAAAATGAGTACTTTTTCCTGGATATTGTTCCGTGAATTTTTCGCGATTTAGCTGGCAATAATTTTTGTGACGCTACGCTACTAAACAACCACTAAGTTCACAATTTTTTAATCAAATCACAAAGTTAAATTGACAGCTATTTGATTACTTTAAAAGTTTCCTTAGCAACGCAGGTCTAATTGTCGCTATAAGTACAACATAGCCTATTAATTTTAAAATTCAAATTTCACATCGATAATTTTCTGACTCAAATATTGTGATAATATAATTTTTCAATCTTAAATCGTCGTTTTTCCCGTCACTGAAAAAAATCGTCTATTATACACGGGAAAAATACTAGAATTTAGCTTTCGTTTTTTTGTCTCAACAATACAACCTAAAATCTATAATAAATAACTATTTTTTAGCAACAATATAATAACAGGTTTGAGCCACAAAGCATCAAATTGGACTGTGGACGACAAAGGAATAGAATTTACCATGGACACATTGCAAGATGGCGGTCGCTATGATGTTGATGTCATATATTTTGATCAAGATAACGAATACTGTAAAGATTCGGTCCATACTACTTTGGAAGGTATATTATAATATTTATATTAGGTCAGCTACAAAGACTTCCTCAACTCAGATCGGTCAGCCAATACGAAAACAGGACCGTCGTTTGAAAACTATTGTAGCGTTTTTCTGGGTTCTTTTGGGTGTGGATTAAAACACTGGATTCCACAAAAAGAAATGCACTAACTTATTTAACGTGACTAGATAGAACATTTATGTATGGTGTATCTGAAGTCACTTGAAATAGCATAAAAACCTTTGGTCGGCGCGTCCTTTGTAATTTCATGACGTATCATAGGCGTGCGGTCATTTATTTAGAACGATAATAATAATGTTTTTATATCACAATAAATGGATTTTACTATCTTCTTATTTTTTTGATTTGGGATAAAAAATACTTATATTGGGAGTTTAATGTATGTTGACTGAAAGTTAAGAAATGGAAAAATTACAGAATTCCAACGTTGGACATAGGCAAATATTTACGTAGCAGGTAGGTATATAAAAAGGTATATAAAGACTTACATTATAGGTATTTATATATCATCCTCGCCTTCGGAGCTGTCGCTGGAGTCATCTTGTAGAGGAATTACAACGGGATTTATAGGAGGCAAAACACAATATTCATTTTCTTTTTCAATAATATGCCTAGAACACTGCTTCCATAGGTCTGTGGCAGCAATATGAGATACTGCATCTCTTATTGTGGCCAATAGCGATTCACTTAATTGAGGGGTCTGATTATGTTTTCTTCCTTTTTTTTAAAGCAGCCCAGACCAACTCAATCGGGTAAAAAATGCAGTAATAGGGAGGTAGACGTAATACTTCATGGCCATTTTGCTGAAGCAGATTGTCAACAACATACTCTTTTTCAAATTTTTGTCTTTTAATAAGGTCCAATAATATGGCTTTGGTTGATTTTTGTGGTATTTCCATTCCCTTCCTTCATAAAATCAATAATGTCTTGTTTTTTGTGCCTGTATTCGGAATTTTGTTTTTCTGTCGGGAATGGTATGGCGCATTGTCCATAATAATCACTGAATTTGGGGAAATGTTTGGTATTAACTGCTGCTCTATCCACTTTTCAAATAAGTCGGAGGTCATGTCCTCATGATAGTCGGCACATGATTCTTTGATATTTTTGGCAGATAACAGCAAGGCATTAGGTATAAATCCTTTTTCACTGCCAGCATGGAGAATAATGATTCGTTTTCCACGGTTGCATGGTGCATTTAAAATGCACTTGTTGCTGTCGTCAACCCAGCCGTACTGCACAACATCATGGGTATCATACCACGTTTCATCCAGGTAAATCAGATTTCTTTTCTGCTCTCTATAGATTTTAACTTTGTGCAAAAATTCTTGGCGCAATTCAACGATTCGAGACGACTCCATAATCACCATTCTTTTATCTAATTTTTTGTATTGAAAACCACACAGTTTTACAATACAGTGCAGTGAGTCTAAGCATTTGTAATTATAAAAATCTTCAGGATAATCTTTTAATTTATCCCGTATCATTTCCAACGTGGGCACCAAATTTTCTTTATAAAATCCGTATATTATACGACGAATATCTTCCTGAAAACCCACGTCTATTCTTTTTAATTTTTGCCCTATGCGCTTTCTGTGGAAGGAATGGTTGACTACATCTCCCCTTTTTATAACCCGATAAATGGTAGACCGACTGATTTTTGTCAGGATACAAATTCTGTTTAAAATTTGATTTTGCGAGGAATCTGGATTTTCGTTTTTCAGACAATCATACATATTTAGGATTACTCTTTGGGTCTGTTCCTCTAAATCTTTATGAAAGAATTCTGCCTGCTCAGGTTCATCAACCATCTTCTCGTGGCTTGGAGCATTTTCCCAAGGTCTCCAAAGAGCCATATTTAGGACACACAAGAACAATCAACACAACAATTAAATCAACAAGTAAACTGAGTATTCAAAAGTCAAAAACACACAAACTAATAAAATCTATGAAAAAACACGGACAGACTAAAGAAAACACGTTTATTCACCGCTACACGGCACTGGCTAAACTGTTTCAATTTTCAGTAGCCACCTGCACTTGTTCCGAGCTCTGAAATACCCGCTTTCTCATTGGCTATGTCCACGCATAGGCGTGCTTTACTCCACGTGGACCGGTGAAACTGCCTTTGATCTCTTATACGGGGGATATTTGCTGCGAAATTTGGCGATTTTTGCAGCAACAGAGCGTGTTAAATATAGATATATAAAACGCACCCGGTATTTCAGTGTTTCAAGTGACTTCAGATAAGGTATACGTGGACTGGCATACGAATTTGCTAATGCTAATTCCTTGAAAATGCCGGAAAATTGGAAGCACCATAAAATAGCTGGTCCTGACTGGTTTAGTGCGTTTCTAAAACGTCATCCTGTACTGTCTATTCGCAAACCGGCATTTCACAGTGTTTCAAGTGACTTCAGATAAAGTATACAACACTATTTTTGTCTGACTAATTCTTATGTCGCCATTGACTGCACTATACTCCACTCTGCTCTACTCTATTGTACTCTGTACTCTGCTGCCATCTCCCGGCCGTCGAACTATATAGTCCCTATCGCTGATTCGAGAAAGGTCAGACGGCGAGTCACTGGTATGGTCCTCAACAGATGTCGCCACCAAAGGAGACTGGCACGGCACAGGGTAGGAGGGTGTGTGTGTTCTACTTTTCCAGTTTCTGCTTGCTGCTAATCCTACTGTTGGACCAGCGAAAGATTGCAAGCCGAAAGAATGCGGACAAAAAATTGCGAAGTTGTCAGATGTTCTACATAAAATGCGGTCCATACTGTTGGACCAGCGAAAGATTGCAAGCCGAAAGAATGCGGACAAAAAATTGCGAAGTTGTCAGATGTTCTACATAAAATGCGGTCCATACATATTAACATATTTAAGATATAGAATTGTTCCGCTGAATTTGGCAATGTAGCTGGAAAACCCAGGCCGCAGGTAAACATCCGGTCGCTGATTGGTCCAAAACTCTTATCTTATCTGAAACTAGAATAACGTGCCGATGGCACGGTCATTTATAAACCTACTCCCATAGGCGTAGGCAGTTGGCAAATACTTTGAAAATATAATTTACTGTTTAGTGGTGATAATGGAATTCAAGCATGGGAAAGTTATTCACAGCCAGGCAAGGGAAATAATAGCAAACGTGATACGTGCTTGCGATGCAGAAGCGGCTAACAATACTTTCGTTTATCCACTGGTAGCTAGAAATGCAAGGGCGGCATATTATACGGGTGTTAGTGAACGAACTATAAGTAAAATTAGAAAAGAAGATAAAGACAGGCAAAATGCAACCTCCACACAGCCTTTAGCTTCTCCCGGAAAAAAGAGATCACGCCCTTCTGTGATCCAAAAAATTGATGGAGTCGATTTTTCCATTATTCGGAGAATGATAGAAAAATTTTACTGTGATTTTAAAGTGGTACCTACTTGTAGTAAACTTCTAATCAAACTGAAGGAAGAAATGGAATTTCCATTTGGTAAAGAATCGTTGAGGCTGCTTTTAAAAGCAAAAGGATTTTACTGGCGTAAATGCCACAACAAAAGGAAATTACTAATGGAAAGACCCAGTATTTTACATTGGCGATACAAGTATCTTAGGTCTATTAAAAAGTTCCGGGAAGAAGGAAGGCATATTATTTATTTGGACGAAACTTGGGTTGATAATGACCTCACTTTCAAGAAATGCTGGCAAAGCGAAGAAATTATGGGTGTCCTGAGCAATATAAGTTCTACAGGTAATAAAGTTTCTTTCACCTCGATTTTGCTTATTATACATTTTTCTCAATTTTGGAATATTCTTAATAAGTGCTCATTTAATTTGTCTAATTGAATACATAATCCCTTGCAAGTATTTTTTTCTCAAAAATATGTTTTTTATACATAGTGATTCAAAAAGGTGTTGGCAAACTTAAAATAACACTAAAATGAGGCTATTTATTCATTTCCAGGACGACTTATAATTGTTCATGCGGGTTCGCAAGATGGTTTTGTTCCTGGAGCCTGTCTCATTTTCAAGGCTGGCTGTGCCACTGGTGATTATCACGGTCAAATGAACCAAGAAAATTTCACGAAGTGGCTTACTGAAAAACTATTTCCTAACATTCCTCCTAATAGTATTATAATAATGGATAATGCACCTTACCATTCAGCTTTGGAAGACAAGCCTCCAACTAGATCTTCTCTAAAAAGAGACATCATCACGTGGTTGAGCAAAAAAGGTATAGAGCATGATCCTAATGCTAAAAAAATGGAGCTTTATGAAATAGCTTGTCTACATAGGCCACCATCTGATGAGAAAAATTATAAGATAGATAATTTAATAAGAAGTTTCGGACACACCCCACTTCGAACGCCACCCTATATGTGTCAGTTTAATCCCATAGAGATGATTTGGGCACAAGTAAAATTTTTCATTAGAAGCCATAATACAAGCGGCGAATTTACTATAAAAAAACTAGATGAAATTTCTAATAAGGCCATCGCTTCAGTAAGTGCCAGTGACTGGCAAAAGGTTATTGGACATGTTATAAAAATTGAAGATGAATATTGGGAAAAAGACAGTCTCATTCAAGAAATACAGGAAGAAATAATAATCAACATAGGAGGTGAAAGTGATAGCAATGACAGTTCCTCAGACAGTGATCATGACTCTAATCAGGATTGAAACTATACTAGATTGGCTACCTTTTAGAATTTTTAGATATTCATTTATTATACTATTGGTTTGTGGCTTTTAGTATCTCAGTAGAAAGTCTAATTCTATGTGTTGTTTATGGGTTATTTCATCAAGAAATTACTTTTTGTTTTCCTATATTTTTCTATTCAGTCAGATATTTTTGACTTGTTGTATTCTATTTTAGAAGAATGCATAATTTGTTTTGCTGTTCAATCATAATGCGTACATAGGAATATTACTTGTTGCCTAAAAAATATATTTATTTTGTTCTCAATATTCAGTGTTTGTGTATATTTATTTCTTATAATGTATGTTTGGTATCACGTCATTATGAATCGCAAAAAAATATTAATACTACCAGTTGTAATAAAATATAAATTCAATTAATAATTCAAGTCTCTCCGATCTCCGCCTATGACTCCATATAAAATCGTCTAATGGTAAGGTTTTTTCATCGCATTTCCCCCTTTCGTCCCTAGCAATCTTTGGCTGGTCGATCAATAGATGTTGTTTCGATATACTTGTGAGATATGTTTGCGGCATTTTATACAGACTTCTTGAACGCGTCAAGTTGTTATTTTCTTAACTGAATGTCTCATATTCTATTGCACATTCAGATAGAAATGTCAAAGAAATAAGGTCGATATAACATTCTGTAACGTTTATTTTTGAGTTATTACGATTCAATATACAAAAACGCTTGCCAGTGCACAATCTTGGAAGATATTGATTTTATATTCTAGCTTTGTACTCATTAGGAGCTTCAAAATAAGGTATGGCAATACTACCAATTCTATTTAAAAAAAATGTTATAATATCACGATCAGAAGCCATATCATTAATCAAGAACAAATAAAAAAAACAAAATCAATAAATATGCAAATTTTAAGGTTCACCGAAATTTTCAGTGGGGACACAGGCCCCCTGGCAGCCCCTTGCGGACGCCCATGATCAATATGTTGCTGGGCGTTAACCAGGCGATTTGTTTAAAATATTCTAAGTAAATTGAACAAAATGTTTTTTCGCTCCGAACTTTTTTTTTAAAGTCTTTTGGATTGATCTGAACGAACAGATACTTAATAGCCCTTCTCTACAACAGATTCCTTAATTATAAGCCATTTGAAATCTGAAAAAACCCCATTTTTAACGGCAAAAAACTCTGTGAAAAATTATTTTTAAGATTACCAAATAAATAAATTAACCCTCAAACCTTAGCCTGTCAGATCATGAAGAGTATTTTATCCTTAGTTTATTTGCAATTAATAATTATTTATTTGTTACGCGTGGTATTTTCCATTCATAATTTCACCCATGGAAGAAAAATGTTCGATTCGTCTGATTTGTACCTTTAATGGTTTCTATTTTACAGTACCAGCTCGACCAGATCGTGTACCGAAGATCAAACTCATAATAATAGTGCTCCTGCTATTATTGACAGGAATGACAACTATTATCATTTTGAAATATGGTAGTAGGATTCTAGCAGTGATCTTGAAAATACGTCACCTTTTTTCGAATGCTGATATTGTTTTGGATGTGCCATCTTTTCCTAGGTAAGCCATAATTTAGGGTAGGAGCGTGGAAGTCAAAATATGGAACATGCAAACATATTTTTTTAGAATATGTAAATAAAATCTTAAAAAGGAGTCATTCAGTGTTTTTATCTTAGTTATTTCAGTTGTTAATAATTTCATTGTATATGAATATCGAATGTCGAGGTCATTTGAAGGTCAAATCGATTTTTTAAACGGAACGACCCATGTTTGACCGTGTAAATGAAGAGCACGGAAAAGTTTACGATCAAATATGCTCATTACCATTCTTGAATTTTGACCTCAGGAGGTCTTGGTCAAGGTCAAACCCCGGTACGCGGCTATAACTTGAAAGCCACTACCCAGACATTATTTTCATGATTTTCCCCCGATACACAATGGTGACCTTGGATATTGATTGGCGATGACCTTCAGGTCATCCATGGTTAAGGTCAGAACCAAGATCACCATAGGAATATCCGGGGAAAAATCATGAAAGTTAATATCTCGATACTTTCCCTATACGACTACTGGTTTTCAAGTTGTATCACCGCACCTGGGCTTGACCTTCACCATGACCTCCTAAGGTCAACACTTAAGAATGGTCAAGACCATATTTGAACATAAAATTTTCTGCTTTTGTCATTTACGGGGTCAAAAATATGATCAAATATTGGAGAGCTGCTGAAAACACCGATAAATAAAAAAATATAAGTGACCTGCCATGATCGTCAACAGTTAGAACTGTCAAATTACCACGGTTCACTTCAGTGATCATAGAAAGTGTTCTGTCAAATATAACGTACGTAATGAAGGGCTCTAATATCTCAATCTGTTTTTCAGAAATGTATGGTAAACTGACTTTAAATTTTTCTGACGACACTGTAATACTCTTACAAACTCTCAATAACTAATTATTTTCAGCCCTGCTAAGGTATTTCACAACGTTCTGTACGAGCCCGTAGTGCCCCCGGTAAGTTACAAATTTCAGAATTTGAAACTTTAAATAATAAATCCATGGTTTTAGCGACGAGATCTAAAGGATTCGTACGATTTTCCCAGAGAAAAAATAGAACATGTTCGAGTTTTAGGCCAGGGAGAATTTGGGATCGTATATGAGTCCAAAGCCTGGAGACTTAACGGTAGACGAGGTTATACTATGGTGGCCGTAAAAGTACTGAAAGGTAAAATTATAAAGAAGGACGATCTGAAAATCTTCTAACATCGCTGACGGAGATGAATGAACACAAACAATACTGGGCCCATAACCTCAAAACTTGATTACAAAGCCATCCAAATCAAACACTTTTCACGCCCGTCATAAGAAGTGTACTTAGAGGATTAAAATTTGGCACCATTTTTCAACGACTTAGGTGTTATGTTTTGAATGGCATTGTGCAAACATTCTAGAAAAGTGCCTTCTCACTTTTTCATGAAAATTATAATCATCTTTCCTTGGATCAAATTGTGCAGGTCATGTCTGAACGAGTCTATCAATTTTTGAGGTCAATAGTATGCAAAAATTGTCCAGACCCATATTTGACCTTCAAGGTCATAATCGAGGTTAACTTCAAGGTTACCGGTGAATAAATAAGTCAAAAATTGAAGCTTCTGTGGTGTCTGAATCCTCATTTTCTTCAGAAACATGATTGAATTTTTTTCGAACGAGGAATTTTTATGATGCCCTTCAGCAGCACGTTCAAGGTCAAAAATCATCATCTAAACCTTGATTTGACCCTCAAAATCATAGTCAAGGTTAAATTCAAAGTCATTGCTGAATAGCCAGGATAAAATCTTGAAGCTCTTGTCCTTTCATATGCCCAAATGTCTGACCGTTTCGCGACGTTTGGATCACACTGTATAAACAGGAACGATATTTTCAAGGTAACAAAACAATTTTCTGTCAAGGTCATGTGTGAACGTGAACTTTTTCGCTCTAAAATTGCTGAGGCCAATAGTTATGGTACCATGCAAAAAAAAATCTAAATCTTGACTTGATTCTCAAGGTCATAATAGAGGTCAGTTTCAAGGTCACCACACCTAGGAGAACAATTTAAGCTTCTGCTGTTTTGAGCCTTCATTTGTCTTTGGATCACCCTATACTTGCAGGAACGATATTTTCAAGGTCAAAACGATTTTCATCCAAGGTCAGCTGTGAAAGTAAACTTTTTCGCGCTATCAATTTCTGTGGTCAATAGTTCAATAATATATGGTACCATGCAAAAAAATTGTCTAGACCTTGATTCGACTTTCAAGATCACAGTTGAGGTCAGATTCATGGTAATCAGTGATTGGCCAGAGAAAAACTGAAGCTCCTATTGTCTTTGAGCCCTCTTTTTGCTCTGTCTTCAGAAATATCACTGAAATTCTGTCGAATGTTTTTACGGCTACCTAGATCAGTACGTTCAAGGTTAAAAGAATTGTCACCCAAGGTCATGCTTGGAGATAAAATTTTCCAGTCTATTTCTGAATTCAAAAGCACTACATAATCATTAAAAAAATCATTCTAACCTTGATTTGACCCTCGTAATTATGGTCAAGGTCACATGCAGAGTCATTGCTGAATAACCAGTTAAAAGTCTTGAACCTCTACTATTCATCTTGTACCATAGCCCTTTCATATTTCCAAACATCTTAACTCTCCGCGACCTTTAGATCACCCTGTATAAACAGGAACGATATTTTCAAGGTCAACACGATTTTCAGTCAAGGTCATGTGTGAAGGTGAACTTTTTCGCTATATCTATTTCTGTGGTCAATAATTTAATACTATATGGCACTACGCAAAAAAATTGACCTTCAACGACATAGTTGAGATCAGTTTCAAGGTCATCAGTTAATAGCCAGAGAAGAAGTGAAGCTCGGGTTTGCTATATATTCAGAAACATAACTGAAAATCTGTAGAACGAGGGTTTTTCACGGTGACCTTGACCAGGACGTTCAAGGTCACAATAAATTTCACCCAATGGGGCTCAAAAAATATCATCTTAACCTTGATGTGATGCTCAAGGTCAAATTCAATGTCATTGCTAAATACTCGGTGAAAAATCTTGAACCTCTACTATTCCACTTTCACCAGAACAACGTTATTTTAGTTTATGGCATAACAGTTGCATTTTATTTCAGAATGCATACCGCAGAATGAAATTGCCGAATTCAGACACGAAATAGATATGCAAAAGAAGATCGGTAATCACAAAAATGTGATCAGAATGTTGGGCTGTATCACATTGACAATCATAGTCAACATTACATTCAAGGTCATTGTTGAATAACCAGGCAAAAGTCTTGAACCTCTACTATTGAACTTGTACCAAGCGCATTCTTTTTTCAAACATCTTAACTCTGCAAAAAATTACCTTCAAGGTCATCAGTTAATAGCTAGGTAAAAATTGAAGTTCCCTGTCTTTGAGACCTCAGGTTTGCTATATCTTCAGGAACATAACTGAAAATCTGTTGAACGAGGGTTTTTCACGGTGACCTTGACCAGGACGTTCAAGGTCACAATAAATTTCACATAATGGGGCTCAAAAAAATCTTAACCTTGATTTGATGCTCAAGGTCAAATTTAATGTCATTGCTAAATAGCCAGTGAAAAATCTTGAGCCTCTACTATTCCACTTTCACCAGAACAACGTTATTTTAGTTTATGGCATGACAGTTACATTTTATTTCAGAATGCATACCGCAGAATGAAATTGCCGAATTCAGACACGAAATAGATATGCAAAAGAAGATCGGTAATCACAAAAATGTGATCAGAATGTTGGGCTGTATCACATTGACAATCATAGTCAACATTACATTCAAGGTCATTGTTGAATAACCAGGCAAAAGTCTTGAACCTCTACTATTCAACTTGTACCAAGCGCATTCTTTTTTCAAACATCTTAACTCTGCAAAAAATTACCTTCAAGGTCATCAGTTAATAGCTAGGTAAAAATTGAAGTTCCCTGTCTTTGAGACCTCAGGTTTGCTATATCTTCAGGAACATAACTGAAAATCTGTAGAACGAGGGTTTTTTCACGGTGACCTTGACCAGGACGTTCAAGGTCACAATAAATTTCACACAATGGGGCTCAAAAAAATCATCTTAACCTTGATTTGATGCTCAAGGTCAAATTCAATGTCATTGCTAAATAGCCAATGAAAAATCTTGAGCCTATACTATTCCACTTTCACCAGAACAACGTTATTTTAGTGTATGGCATAACTGTTACATTTTATTTCAGAATGCATACCGCAGAATGAAATTGCCGAATTCAGACACGAAATAGATATGCAAAAGAAAATCGGTAATCACAAAAATGTGATCAGAATGTTGGGCTGTGTCACATTGACCCAACCTATGATGATCATAATGGAACTAGTCCCTACAGGAAATTTGAAAGACTATTTCAGAAAGCTAAGAGATATTTGGTCTGGGGCTGACAATAGACGGTTTTTTGGAGAGTAAGTTTTAAAGAAATACGGTATAAAATTTGGTATTTTTTAATAATTTTTCAAGGACAAGTTTTGACGGACAATATATACAACCAGATGGTGGACAAAGTGCTTCCGAGACTATACAGAATGTTACTGAGGCTGACAAGGGCTTAGAAACTGAAAATTTAGGTATATCATATACTCGTAGAAATATAAATGAAATTCACTTTTATATATTTTTTTATATGTGTATTTCAATGCTGTTTTCATACAGATGACCTGATACATTGCGACTCAGCTGACTCCACTCCTTTATTTGAAAAAGAACCAGAACCTGCCTTAGATCATAAGGAACTCGAAAATTTCGCATATCAAATTGCTTGTGGGATGGCTCACTTAGAAAACAAGGGAATTGTCCACAGGTAAAAGTATCCTGACTATAGAACAAAAAACTTTAAACGATTGTATCATATTTAAGCCTCGGAGATCCTCAAGGTTCGGTACTTGGGCCAGTTAGTCTCCTTTGTATACATGATATTCGTTATATTTATTTGATGTTTCAGGGACTTGGCCGCAAGAAATATCCTTATCACGCATAACAAAACATTGAAAGTGTCCGACTTTGGTATGTCAAGACAAGGAACTTATATTACTTATAGGCTGAAAAAAATACCTTTGAGGTGGAAAGCGTTAGAGTTTTTGGAGCAGTTCAAAGATGACAGCAAAACTGACGTTTGGGCGTACGGAGTCGTGTTATGGGAGATCGGCACTTTAGGTACATGTTCATTTAAAAGTCGTTCCAATATTTCGGAATTTAAATTTGGCGCCTTTTTGAAGAATTTGACTGATGGGTATTACGTATCTTTTATAAGATGTCAACTTGGAACTAGCTTTTGTTCACTTGACGTGCTCTCGATGTGTAGCTATACGTGTTGCCTAATCGTCTTGACGTTTGGTTTGGTTCTGATGTGTTGTAACATCTGCTTCAGAGATGGCACTACTGTAGGTAGTTGTAAACTATAGAAGGAAGGAAATGGCAGTGTGTGCTAATAATCTGTGTTATGATAATTCCAATGGTTTCTTGTCTCAAATACACTTACATGAGATATATTCAAAGCTAGAATTTGTTTTCTTATTCATTCTGGAAGTTATATATGCAAAGTTGTTGAATTTCAAAAATGAGAGAGATTAAAGACAGAAAGATTTATGAAAGTTATTATATCTAGCTATCTAGTCTGCAAGTTGACATTAAGTCGTTCTTTTGCGTACTTCATTGTGGATTGTTTCACGAATGCTTCAGAATTGTCACATAGTACGACCGAAGGAATTTCAGAAGTAGATCAGACAGAAACTTATACAAAGTTATTTTAAGTGTGTCCGGTACATGTGTCTGCAGTTTGTTCAATTCTAGGTGCATTTCCTTACGAAGAGATCCACAACGACAACATCCTGGCGTATCTTCAAGCTGGAAATCGACTGGCAAAGCCGATCACTTGCACAGATGCCCACTACCAAGTGATGATGTCCTGTTGGGAACGAGATCCTTGCAAAAGACCCACTTTTGCTGATATTCGGAGACATTTTGCGTTTACGAAAAATCACGCTTACGTAGACTTTAGTGGAATCAACCCTAGTTACGTATTTCCTCCTATGTGCGATAAGGAGGGTAATGAGAGCGATATCAAGGATGTAACAGGTTAGAACATACTGTAGAGTATGAATCTTTTCTGTGCCTTTGAGTTCTTCATTATGATAAAAATTGTTTTTTAAGGTGTTCAAGAAACTGTGGCAAATGGAAGTTTTCAGAATAACGTGACAGGGTGTAATATGAAAAAAACATAAGAAAGAGAAAGTATAATTATTATTGTACGACTTTTTCTAAGCAATGACGCCTTAAAGTGATTGTGCTTGCATGTTTGGCAGCGATTTTTCAAATTTTCGTTTGATCTGTGACAAGTGCATTGTTGTACTTAATAAAATTAGTGTAATATTTTTATGATTTTTCTTATTCGCAGTGACAGGAAAATTTGAATTTCCCGCCATTTCTACTATCAGGAGCAGATGCTCTTCGTATTTCTGTTATCCTGGTAGGAAGTTTTATTTATGAACTTTGACAATTTTCGATAGGAAACTGATCGAATGTGTCGCCATGTTTAGTCGCTGTAATTCTGTATCAGGATCACAGAAATTTACACCTTACAGTTATAATAAGTCATTTATTTTGTTGTTAAATAGCCATAGACTAAAACAAATCAAAAATCAAATGGAAGTGGTAGAACAAAGACACATACAATTGAACAAACAATACAATACAGATAAACAGTTTTACATGCAAAAAATTCTTCGCAGCTATGAAAATCCTTATCTGTGAGAAATGATTTTTGAAACTGCTCACCGTCGACGCTTTTTGCATGTCTTCTTTTAAATTATCGAAAATTTTACAACCCATGTAACTCTCTGATGCAGTACGATGTTGAGGGGGTATCAGCAGATCTTAAGATCGAGTTTTGTTATTGAAGAACTCCAATTTATTTTTATGCACAAATATTGATAGTTCATAAATATAAATAGCTACTGTTAAGATTCTTAGGGATCTAAAATAATCCCTGCAAGATTCAGATTTGCAATGATTCTTATGAAATATTTCTCTATCTATCGATGAGTGCATCCCCAGCTTAAAATGCCAAAACACAAGTGGCAGTTAAAGCTTGAATAGTATAGAGTAAGCCAAACTTGTTTACTACATTGATTTGATAAAAAATGTATACCATAAGCACTTGCAACTTGAAACAGGATTCGACAGTTATTCATTGAATCATTCGTATACAGTAAAAAAGAAAAGGCCCCAGAAACGATCCTTGGGGAACACCTGCCTCGATAACCAGCACATCGTACTTGCATCATTAAAACAGATATATCGAAGGTATGATTGGAAGAGTTGTAATGGCAATCCCCGAACTCCATATCTGCACAACTTATACAGTAGTAACAGTTTCTTGATCTTTGAAGATGAGTTGCCATAAAGATCGCCCCGAACCCCGACCAGCCGCCCATAGAGGATCTTTTCGACTATTTAAATTTTGTGTGGTAACACTTTACAAAGAACCTTCGTATATGGGGCTGGTAGCCCAACCGAACGAATTTTTTTTAGGTCCAGTTGTAAATGCACAGAATTACCTTCAAATCATTTATGAAAGGTATTCGAACAAATATATAATAGATGGCGCTGCATATTGGTAGCCACCACAAAGTCCACCGTTTTGAATGACTACCTTGCAGCGTTGCCAGACGAACACAGTTCCGAGCTAGCAGCCGTCGCGAGTATACACTTGTGCGACTGCGACCCACCCGGACTTACAGTGCGATCCTATTGTGATTTTCATCACGATACGATCGCCATCCACGATGGCGAGAATAGAAAAACTGACGAGCCAGCTGAAGCAGAAGGAGGATAACTTCGCAATGCTTGCTGAGCAGATGAAAAATCTGCAAGAAGCATTCAAGCAGGCGAGACAAGAGATAGAGGAAGTGAAGGGGAAGCTCCTCAAAGCGAAGAGGAAGGCGAAGAAGCCGGTAGAAGAAGAAGAAGGTGAGGACCAGGGAGACGAGGGACATGGATGCCCAAGATATCGAAGAAGAAGAAGCCGAGAAGAGGACCGATGACGCAGACTTCAGTGTCGTCACCAGGAGGAGAAAACGAGTGAGAGTTTCCTCCTCCTCCGAAGAAGAAGAACCATCCAGGCAGCCAAAGATGCCAGCTGCCACCAAGAAGAGAGGTCCTAGAGCAACCAGGACCACCGAGGCCCCCATGGCAGGAACAGCAGTTCCGCCAATCAATATCGAGGGCACCGCTGATTGGTCATCCTTAAGCAGGATGATGAACAGCAAGGGGATCCAATTCTCCAAGGCGAGGACGGCGGGTAACAGTGTGAAGGTGTTCACAAATACACCAGCTGACTACCGTCAGCTAGTCGCACTGCTGGAATCCATCAAGCGGCCCTTCTTCACCTATCAACTGAAGGAGGACAGGATGGACCAGAGGGTCATTCGTGGGCTACCCAGGGAGATGTCAGTCAATGACATCAAAGAGGATCTAGTGAGCCAAGGCATCGCAGACGCCGAGGTTCAGCAGATGACCTCAAGGACCACCAAGAAGCCACTTCCGCTCTTCCTCGTCAAGACGAAGATGCCGGAAAAGCTTGCAGAGATCCAGAGGCTGGCCATGCTCACGGTCAGCTTCGAGAGAAAGAAAAAGTCTACCGAGCCCAGCCAATGTTACCGCTGCCAGCGGTACGGGCACACAGCGGAACTGCTGTCTCGCTGAACGGTGCGTTAAGTGTGGAGAGGACCACAGCAGCACCAGCTGCAGTCTGCCAGCGCCGCCAACAGGGCAACGAAACGCCAAGTGTTGCCTTTGTGGAGAAGGCCACCCCGCCAACTACAAGGGATGTAGTAAGGCCCCGAGGAAAGCTGCTTCTGCCCCCAAAGCAGTCCCCACCACAAATAGGACCTCTTACGCTCAAAAAGCGAAGAAACCTATGTCCACTTCTGCCCCAGCAGCCGCCACTGCTACTGGAACTATTGCGCAGAAGCAACACGGCGATGACAGACTGCTAGTAATGATGCAAGCCATCATAACCCGCCTGGATGCACTCGAGGCCAAGATGCAAGACAAGCATTAGACCCGAAATGACTACAGGGCAAAACGTAGAATCTCTACGCATTATCTCCTGGAACATCAACGGATTCAGGGCACGGAAACCAGAAATCCGGGAGATACTAGACCAGTACCAACCAGAGGTGATGGCCATCTAAGAAACGAAATTGGATGCTGCCCATAGTCTGACGTTCCCGCGGTACGAGACGTACCGCTACGACAGAAGAGGCAGAGGTGGAGGAGTCGCACTACTCGTCAAACGTACCTTGACGAGTCATGTCCTCGACGATGCCGCAGACATCAATGGGGACGGAATCACGGTCCAGGTCCATCACAACCACCGTCCCTACAGGATCACCTCCCTATATGTGCCACCAGGAGAGGCCCTGGACGAAGATGACATCGCTGACCTCCTGAGAGGCCCAGGAGCACGCATAGTCATCGGAGATCTAAACTGCAAATCTCCGGCATGGAACAACAACGTCGAAGACAGGAATGCAAGGCAGCTCCAAGAACACGTCGATGCCCTGGCGGGGGTCATCGTCGGTCCGGAGCAACCAACCTACATTCCATTCGGCCTCGGGCGACCTGCGGTACTGGACATAGCCATCCTCCGCAACATCAGAGAGGAGTTCGAGATAGAGACCCTGGTGGAAGGATCGTCGGACCACAATCCGATTCTACTAACACTTGGCACAGGGTCTAGAACTCGAGATAGCTTGAGCACCAAACGGACGAACTGGAACCTGTACAAATCCAACGTCCAGAGGAACATCACTCAAATTCCAACCATCCGATCAGCGGAGGAACTGGACAACGCGGTAAAGGAGCTGGAGAATGCTGTCCTGCGAGCGCACGAGGACAGCACCCGCTCCGAGACTACAGCAGTTCCTAGACACCTAAATGGTCCAGCACCGCACCATATTAGGCACCTGATCAGGGAGAACAGAAGACTCAAGCGAGAACATCTCCAGCTGTTGACAGAGGAGTCGAGAGTTGCGCGAAACAGAGCATCGCTAGCTCTGAAGAAGAAAGCACTCGCGGAACTCCAAAACAGCAGATGGAATGCAGCCTGTGCAGAACTAGAGACCCAGGATGGTACGGCCTGGACTATGCAGCGAAAATTCCGTCGTCAGCGCACCACGATCCCCACTCTTCACGGCCAACGCGGCTTGGCCTACTCCAGTGAAGAAAAAGCCGAAGCATTCGCCGATTCGCTAGAATCCGAATGCAGACTCAATTACCATGAAGACGAGGACGACAACCACGAGGAGGCCGTGGAAGTCGCAGCCGAAATCATGAGGAGTCGACTACCTGGCCAGGAGACGGATCACCCCTCCAGTCCAGAGGAAATCCGTCTGATCATCCGCAGGTTGAAGGTCAGAAAGGCGCCGGGAAGAGACGGCATCAACAATAGGATGCTGAAGAACCTTCCCACCAAAGGCATTGCTGCGCTCACCAACATCGCCAATGCCACTCTGAGACTTAACCACTTCCCGCGGCGGTGGCGGGAAGCCCAGGTTATAATGCTCACCAAGCCAGGCAAGGACCGGAAGTTGCCCCAGAACTACCGGCCCATCAGCCTGGTTTCCTCGATGGGCAAAGTAGTCGAAAAGGCTATCGCCGTTCGACTAGAGAAGCAGGCCGAAGAACTGCAACTTCTCCCCCCAGAGCAATTCGGCTTCAGATCCTCCCACAACACGGAACTCCAAGCGCTACGACTGACGGAAAACATCACCAGCGGCTTCAATCTCCAGGAGGCAACCGGTCTCGTCCTGCTGGACGTGGAACGAGCCTTCGATCGAGTTTGGCACGATGGACTCATCGCCAAAATGGAAGCCGCCGGAATCGATGCGAACATGTGCCAACTGATCCAGAGCTATCTAACACAAAGATGGTTCACGGTGAAGATTGGTACATGCCATTCAACAAGACGACAGCTGGAAGCAGGCGTGCCCCAGGGGTCAGCCTTAGCCCCCCTGCTCTACAACATCTATACTCACGATGTGCCGAAGACAGCTGACACAATGCTGGCCCTATATGCAGACGACACTGCTATAGCCGCCAAGCATAGACGACCCGAGATCATCCGTAGGAGACTACAGGATGAACTGGACCACATCCAGGACTGGTGCGTGAAATGGAAAATCCGCATCAACGTCCAGAAGACGCAGGCAATCTTCATTCAACGAAGAAGGATTGCAAGACCTCTCGAAGCATCCATCTTCGACGAAGATATCCAGTGGAGCGACAAAGTCAAATATCTGGGGATCGTATTTGACAAGTCCCTCACCTGGAAAGCCCACATAGAAGCTGTCATCGCAAAGACCAGAGCAGCCATGGCTCAACTCTACCCATTACTGGGTAGACACAGCCGGATGCCGCTAGCGACCAAGCTAGGGCTGATCAAGGCCATCGCCAGACCTCAGCTCGCTTACGCCTCCGCGGTCTGGGGGTACGCTGCCCCCAGCTACCGCAAGCGACTTGCTGCTCTAGAGATGAAGCTACTCCGGATCGCCACCAGTGCACCATCCTACGTAAGAAACTCAACCTTGCGTAGAGACCTGCATTGGGACACCATCCACGAGTACATGAGGAAAAAAGCGGAGAAGACCTTCGAGAAAGCTCAGGACCACCCGAACGAACAGCTACAATTCCTCATGGACTACGAT